CGTGAGTTGTTGAAACACGCATATGTCATGTAGTAGCTCTGCGTGCTTAAACTCCAGGTGAGAAATCAAGATTTTGCCACACCAGGGACTTTCTCCAATCACCCAGACCTTCTCCCGTGTAGATGAAATTAAACAGAAGGGACAGTTTATTATGTGAATGACAGAAAGTGTATTTCTTTTTGCAACGAGAAGGAATTTAGGTGACTTAAATATAAATAAAAATCGGCCCAAGGAAAATTATATTTAAGGCTCTAGAAATAAGTTTCTTTGAAATGGGAGGCTTGAGTCTCAGCAGAGTTGGAAAAGATTTGAAGATAACGACCGGATGTGCTTTAACTGTATCACATATGCAAAGTCAAGAAGTGATTGGACCAATGCTGAAAATTCTCAGAAGTTGGACACAATTAGAGGCGATGAAATGGTCTCCAAGCAGGATTACATCAAGAGCATAAGCATCATGTCTCTGAAAAATGATGTTGGGGCCTTGAAGGAAGAGCATGGAATTGGCTCATGTCAAAAATGCTGAGGTGGGAGGCCAAAATCACTGAAAGGAGATGCATGAGGGACAGACACCTGCTCTCTGGGTGAGTCATTGTCTTCTTCAAGCTACACAGACTCAGAAACACCATCTGAACAGCAAGTCCATTTCCAGCCCACCATGCTGCCAGATCAAGCGACTCTCCAACTCTATACACAGGGCAGTGATAAAATTAGGCTATTGGCTATGAATATTTTACATCTGTTGAACTCCTGTATTATAATAGGACCATTCCATTCACATGTGGGGATGAGACAATCTTTCTATAGAAAAGCCCTCTTTTGAAGGCCAGGCACAGTGGCTCATGCTTATAATCCTAGCACTCTGGGAGGCTGAGGTGGATGAATTGACTGAGCTTATAAATTTGACAACCAGCCTGAGCAAAAAGTGAGACCCCTATCTCTACTAAAAATAGAAACTAGCTGAGTGTTGTGGGGGGTTGCCTGTAGCTACTCGGGAGGCTGAGGCAAGAGGATTGCTTGGAGCCCAGGAGTTTGAGGTTGCTGTGAGCTGTTACACCACAGCACTCTACCCAGGGTGAGAGTCTCAAATAAAAAAACACAAACAGACCAAAACCTCTTTTTGACCATCAAGCTCTATTATCTGCTATTTTCTTCCTGTGCAAGGTTCCAATGTGCAATAAGAACCCTAAGGAACAAGATTAAAAATCATCTAAGATTAAAAAGGGTTCATTCAGTCTAGTCTCAGTGGTTCTCAACCTACCTAATGCCGTGCCCGTTTAATACAGTTCCTGTGGGTTGCGACCCATAGGTTGAGAACCGCTGGCCTAGCGTTTAGCGCTCAGGATTTTTCCATCTTCGGAAAGTCGTCGACCACGTGTGCAGTACAAGTCAAATTCTTTTGAGTGGAAGGATTTTGCTCTTCACAGGTGGATGTGGGCTCCCCTTTCTCCACGGGCTGCCCCGTGATAAGGAAAGGAGCGTTTATTTGCCTTGCTTCTGTAGCACTCTAAAATTTTTTAATCCAGCAAATTACGACAATTGCAGTATCTCTTCCCTGTCAGAAAAACCCAGGCTTTCGCCCCTCACCAGCAATCAGGCAGGACGGCTGCAAAGGGCTTCTGGGTTAAGTGAGTGACATCTTAAGTGTATTCATTTCCCTTTCTGCTTTTCTGGGCTGCTTTGTGCTCAGACTCTTCTGAAAAGTGCTTTGTGAAACCTTCCCAGATGTTTCTCCTTTACGGGTTTGCACGCAGTGCCAACTGGAACGCACCTGGCTTGCGGGCGCTGCTGGTCTCCTTAAACCCCTCATCTGGGGGTCGTATTGAAATGACTTCAGTAGGTCTGGGGCACAGCCTGGGAAGATGCTGCCACTGCCACTGCCTCACGGGATGCATTTCGAGGGGCAAGGCCCTGAGCGGACACCCCACAAGCTAACACAGGACTGTGGAGCGGTGGGCGCAGCAGAGGGGGATGAGACCAGACATATCCCACGCTCGTCACTCAAACTCCTGAGCTTCAGACGCCTCATTTACAAAGTGGGGTAAACACCTCACCTGGCAGAGCTGCTGCGGAAAGAGCTAAGGTTCTCAATAAAAAGAAACACAAAGCCATTATCACAAATGATGCCTCCAGGCTTCCTCTTCTAAAATGGTAGGATCAGTTCCCTGGCCCTTGATTGCTAAGAAGGTGCACATCCCTGATAATGTGATGTTCTCATCTGAAGCATTTTGCCATGTTTCTTTGGCATCTTTTTGGGAGGGGGGACGCCAGTTATCATCTTGGTCTCACATCCTTCTTGGGGTTAAGTTCTATTTATTTTGAGGGTCTCTCCACTCAGGTCTCTCAATTCCAACTTGAAATTCTGCTTAGGATCCCTTAGCGGATATAGTTTTAGGGAAATAGAGATAATTACTGCCAGACTTTTTTTTTAATGCAACAAAACCGGTTATAATTACCAGTGGGAAGCAGAAACAGTACAGAATGGAAGTATTATGGAATGTCTGTTTGGTTTGCCTTCAGCCCAAGTGGCAATTAATAACTTATCAGGGAAGACAGGCGAGAGAACAGTAAATAGTTTTCATGTTTTCAGTTAAATATTTCAGTCTTAATCTGGAAGTATTCTACAGTGATTGAACCTGTTAAGCCTAGGAAGAAAGGCCTAGATTAACCCCTAACTGGAGACCTGAAAGGGATGAAAAGCATCTATATGATTTCAGGGCATCTCAGGCAATGAAGCAGAGCTAGTCCATAGCCCTTAGCATTTTTCAGACTTGTGTCTGGGGCTCAGTTGTCACAGGCTCCTTGTAAGTCATCATGTTTTCTGGAAATACCTCTGAATGCAGATGAAATTTAACTGCGGTCAAGCGATTTCCTATTTGATAGAATTTGTCTCGGTCTCAAATTCTTTCCTCTAAGTAGAGAGACCTCAAAAAATGCACTCCTTAGGAAAAACGTTCTAGTCTTAGTTAATCTTGGAAAGTGCAAAAAGTGATAAGCGGCTGGCAAGAAAGAAGATGTGGAGGAGGTATTGATTCACGGAGAATGGCTGTCCCAAGTTGCCTACTCCTTGGGGAGTCCCTACGTTTTTCTATACTCAGAGGAAGGTAGTGAAGCATTGTTGGTCTGTGGGTAATGATAGGGCCAGGCTTGGCTAATTTTACCATAACAAACTTTCTAAAGGCCCCTCACCAGCATTCTTTATCTCAACATTTCTGCTGACTTCTTGTTGTTTATATATTTTCTATTATTTTGGTCCCAGATGGAATACAAAATTTCCTAAGAATTACCAAATAGCTGGTTGTAACGCCATGCTATACTCTTCCTATATTGACAAGTAGCCTAGGTACATACACCAGCACTGCCAGAGGTACCACCTATTTTTTTTTTTTTTTTTTACAAAACAAACTTACCAACAGTCATTTGTGAATATCATTAAGAAAAAAAAAAAAGACTGTAACCAAACAGAATAGAGAACATGTGACACACAACTTGGGATTAAAAGAATTTTCCATTTATCAGGCCAGATTCCATGTTCCTTATCTCGACAGGGTCCCACTTGGGTCGAGAGACTGCTTTCAGGAAATGTCTTCTTAATCTTCTCTCTTGACCAAGATATTTTTGACAGAGAACTTCTAAAAAAAAAGAAAATCTTGAAAGTTTTTAGATGGTGAGATAATACCCACTTCTTTACTAAGAACAGAACTGATATAATAAAAGCCATCAGGTTTGGGATATTTTATGAAAATGTTTAATTCAACTGTTTCTTTGGAATGTAGTAGTCATAGTTTGGAATTGAAGTTACAGTTCAGTTCTATGTGGTTCTTATGTCACTCAGTGTCTGAGAATACAAATGTCATTTAAAGTTAAGGCTTCGCTGTTCGTTTTGAAACAACAATTTACAAGCGTCATATTGTCATAGAAAATAAAAATTTCTGTAAAAAAAATCTGCACAAAATCTTATGATGGTACAAAACACGGAGCAATCATATACCAGCAAAAATGAAAACATTTTACTACAGAGGGTTTTATAGATTTCAATAAAGGAAAAAATATGTTATTTTACACTTTTAAAAATTACAAAACAATCTAAAACAATATAAACTGAACATTTTGTAACACTGCCTTTACAAATTAATAACTTTATAAACATATAATTCTTAAATATATTTATCAGTGCAAGATACTTTAAAATTTAAAGTTGCAGTATCATTTTTCCTTGGCTGAGGACCACTTTTAAGTCTGTTACTTTAAGAAGAAAAAAAAAATCAAATCTTCCTTAGTGCTTTCCTTCTGGGGGGATTAAAAACAGCTAAATGAAGGCCTCTGGGGACCACAAAAAACTATTCTTCTTTCGAGGGGATCAATACTTTCCTGGAAACAAAAGACATTCTTAATCCAATTTAACCAAGATGAATGGACTGTCCCGAGCAAGATGCAAATGTGACTCCCAATATATGTATTTAAGTGAGACCTATAGCAATGTGGGAAGGGGGGAGATGTGAAAAATCTTATGTACACCGTGTCCTGACAAAAACACGCTCAAAACAACCAGAGCTTCTTTGGGTTAATTCATACGCTGCCTAATAAGATATCTGTTCTCCTGTTCTGTGACAGGCTTAGGTCTTGCCAGCCCCAAGGCAGGTGAGCTGCTGGAGGTTTCTGGAAACACTTATTCAAGTCTATTTTTGCAGGGTTGCTATTGAATGGATTTTTTAAAATATTTGTTTGGGGGCCAAGTACAGTGGCTCACACCTGTAATCCTAGCACTCTGGGAGGCTGAGGCGGTGGGATCCCTTGAGCTCTGGAGTTCCAGACCAGTCTGAGCAAGAGTGGGATTCTGTCTCTACTAAAAATGGAAAAATTTGCCAGGAGTCATGGCGGGTGCCTGTGGTTCCAGCTATTCAGGAGGCTGGGGAGGGAGGGTTGCTTAGCCCAGGAGTTTGAGGTTGCTGTGAGCACAGCTGATGCCTCTACCTTCCAGCCTGGGCAATAGAGTGTGACTATGTCTCAAAAAAAAAAAAAAAATTGCTTTGACTTTATGTATTTTTCCCCCTCTTATCTTAAAATACTCCCCCCCAGCCATCAGGATTTATCGTTTCTTTCTTAAATTAACTGTTCTTCCTTCCACTTCCCGGTCTGACTCAACACCAAAACAAGAAGGTTCTCCTGGGTCATTTTTGCACATCTGGACATAAAAATGTCATGTTTTTAGATATTTGGAAGATTTTATTCAATCCTTCCTTTCCTCACTTGAAAGCCAATTGGTATTATTTCTTTCCTCAACTTAGAGCTATTTCTACCAAATGCAAACACTTCTAGGGAAGGGCATTGTGATCAGAAAAGACTGACAAACGGCTTAAGGAAAAAAGATACTGTCACTTTAACCAGTTAACAAGAAAACCAAAGTTAGACTTTGGAGGGCAAAGTGAAGAATTTCCCTTATTTATTTTTTCTTAAACATAAAAGTTGACTAGTAAAATTGTTTGCCATTCCCAGCAGGTTAAAGCTGTAAATTTCTTTTCTGGACAATGGCAAATGCTTAAATTCTAAGAGAGAGGGAGAGAGAAGAAAAAAACAAAAAAACAAAAAAAAAAAACCCCAAGACAGAGAGATAGGAGAGAAAGAGAAGAAGTTTTACATTTGAAAATACATTCCATATGAAAGAAGAGCCAGAGAGAATATCGCAGCTTTATACAAAAGGGTCAAGAGACATGAACTTGAACTACAGAGAAAGCAGAACAATTAAGCCACGTTGCCAAATCTTCAGAGCCCTTGCCTTCCCGAGGGGGCTGACGTCTCACACTAAAATATACTTTCTTCGTAGTCAGTGGGCCACCAGGGTTTGATTAAAGAGTAGGGCTTTCACCAGCGGGAAGCGGAGTGGGTCGTTAATGTAACACAATGGACCAGTACGAACAAAAAGGCACTTGAGAGGACATCGACTAGCCAGTGCCAAGGGCGTTGTGGTGGTGGTTGCGGTTGGCAGCAGTACACCCAGTTGCCAGCAGTGTTTGGTGATGGCACAGTTTTCTGTATGGGGTTCACAAGCACGGGGGTTAGTTCAACACTGGAAAAACATCGAGAAAATCTGACGGTATTGCTTCGTAAACAGAGCTGACACGTTATACTGGGACTGAGGCTATAGTACTTTGAAAAGAAAACGTCCTAATCATTCTTCGCCTATGCACGATGCGGGCAATTATACACAAGTACGACGTCAGGAGTCCACTGAAAAGCGGTTAGTCGAATATATTCTGGGCACTGGGCTACGGGTGGCATGTCCGTCAAAAGGGCCCCACTCAATACACTTGGTGCCAGCATCTTGGATTTTTTTGCACAGTTTCCGAAAAGACTCCGTAAAGGAAGGAGGAGAGACACAGAGAGAGAGATTAAGAGAGAGAGAGAGAGAGAGAGAGAGAGAGAGAGCAGGGGAGGAGGAGGTTGAAATGAATTATTAAGTCAATCATACTTGGTCTCAACACCAGCATCTATCTGATGATTCCAATTAAACCAACAGGAGAAAAGGTGACTGTACATGATTCCGACTGTTAACACAGCTCACTTGTCCACGTCTGTCGCTCACACGCAATTGAAGCTCCTGAGAAAAGCCTGGCTCAGCGCCACGCGCTTTGCACCCTGCCCAGTGAAAGAAGATGGGGCAGTCGCCAGCGCCCGCACGCCACGTCCTCCCACCTCAATCCTCTGATGCTGTCTTTTCCTCTCTGCCCGCCTTCATGCCTCCGAGTAAGTACTTTGTGTGTTCAGTTTGTCTTTTTTCAACTTCACGCCATCCACGAGTTCAAAGTTGTAGTTCTCCAGGGCAGACAGGTTTCTTTCCGACATCCCATTGTGCCAACAGGCACAGTACAGCACGACCCCACAGACGGCCCCCAGGAGGACGCCCAGGGCGCTCATGGCAATGATGGTGATGAGGATGGGGTCCAAGGTCTTCAGCACGTTGCCGGGCTTCCTGGAGATGTTCTTCTCACCTTGCCCCTCACCCTCGTAGCCTGGGGTGCTCCCTACGGAGAAAAGCAAAATGGACTTTGTGAGCACCACGGGGACGGGCCAGATGAAGGCAGGAGGGAAAACAGAAAAATGGAAAAGCAGGAGCAAATCGCATGCCCCAGTTTTGCCTGCCCCGTCCACTCACGGTTAAGGGATTGGCAGGTGGTGCTGGGATTCTGACATATCTCTCAGTTCATGGAACCAACGGATGTGGGGGGAACAGGGAGGAGTGCGTTCTGGTCGAATTCAGATGTCACACAGCCTGGCTCTGTGCCAGACTGTACTGTGGGTTTACAGTCCCTGGCCAGATAGGCAGTTATTTAGCTTTGCAAAATACTTAAGTCACACATTGGACTTGCAAGGGAGGCATTCCCTACGCAGGTGTCTGATCCTAAAACCGGACATGATGGATGACGTGTTCAGAGCTGCCCACCTGGGTGTGCTCCTTCCAGCATCTGGCTTGGTTGATACGAGACTAAAGCGTGTGGAAAAAGTGTAAAAGCGGTAAAAGTAAAGCGGTTTCAGTGAAGAAGGGGAGAGCTTTCAGAACTAGAGAATGCTTGCTGCTGGCACGGACACGGGGCGTGCGGCTCCCCGTGAGAAACCGTGTCTTTGCCGTGCTGCACAGAAGACATTTAATACTCAGCCCTGGTGGTTTAACTGGAGTCGGTCACACCACGCTGTAGCTCAGTCCCTGGGGACGTGTTTTCTTTAGAGTGGAACACGAGAAATTACTGACGTGGGAGCTGTGAGCCTAATTACCTGGTACTAGAAATGGGACAAAAATGTTAATGCACAACTTGCCTGGTGTTTACTTAATGGTGTTCTGACCCACAAAGATTCCAATCAAAGAAAACTAAAAATATGAGATGCAAATCCCCAAGCTGGGGGAGATACTCCCTGGGGACATATGAAGATGCTCTCCCTTGAAGAAATACTGCTTTGTAACAATCTTTAATAAAGGTTACATCTCCCTGTGGACTTTTTAGTGTGTTGATACAACTAAGAGCCCGGAGCCATATTTATTTGTCTCTACTGAGTCCAGGTCTGGCTGGATGGTAGGGGCCCCATTTCTAATGGCGACAGACGCTGAGGGACAGTGAAGGTTGGGATGCAGCTGTGAGCAATGCTGGGGCAAGTACCCAGCACCCCACGATGCTGGCCGGGAGGTGTGGAAACTTCCAGGAGTAAAATAAGACCGTCAAGGGCTAACTCTGGTCATAGATCTTGCCTCTGATCACAAAGCAGTGTTCGACAAAAAGGCATATTTTAGAGTGACTCAGACTCAAGTTCAAGGCTACCACCTAATTAGCTATGCTTTTAAAGTCTCGGTCTCCTCATCTGTGAAAGGGGGTTAAATAAACCCCATAAAGCCACCATGGGGATTAAATAATATAAGACACGTAAAGGGCTTAGGACCTAGTAGTTACTCAATAAATCCTTCTCATGATCACAAAGCCAAGGTTTGAGGAGAGGAAGACGGGGAAAAAAATGGATCAAATGCAATAAATTATCACAGAAGTTGGGTGGGTCTAGTCTTGTCAACACCCCTAACTGGATATCAAGCAGACACCAGAGTCTGGGCTGGCTACAAATAACTGTATGAAAATAGTCTTCACTAGTTTTCTGTTCCTGTAGTCACAGAGGTTCCCACAGTCATCTTAGGAGAGGGCACTCTGTGACAGTCATCCCATCCACCACATCACCTTGGGGCCCTGAGCATGGATGTTCACTTCATCTGAATTGTTTCTGCTAGACCAGCATGTTAGCGTTCCAGAAAAACTTCTTCATGCACATAATGAAAACCATAGTAAAATTAAAAAAAAAAAATGGTTCAGCAGGATCAATTTACCTGTTTCATCAATTTTAATTTCTGGGTTCTTTTTGTCCAGGTCTGCCGGTTCTGACAAGTCAAACAAAAGTGAAAGAGATATTTGAACTGCCAGCGAGATACAGTGCACGCCAACTACAGAGCCCTCGCATGGGTTCCCTTGGGTCTTTCGGTACAGTCTGAACCCACCACATAACTGTCGAGCCATAGACAGGCCGTGTTAAACAACCTGGAAATCAGTGACATGAGGTCACGACACTCCCTCTGAGTTATCACATCTAAACCCAGGGAGCTGTGCTGTTAGCAGAGTATGTTGTTTTAGAACAGAAAGGTGGAGAGATCTAGTCTGAGCCTTTGAAATGTGGAAAAACTTGGGTGAAAAGAGGGAGCAGGGGTAGGTCTGCAGCTAACCACTTCCCGAGTTTGGTATGTGTTAGTTTACTTGACCAAAGTAGGATGCCAACTTTTGGAGACAGAAGTCCTGTGTATTATTAAAAAAAAAAAAAGGTAAGTAAATAAGTGAAATTTAATACTATGGGAGATTGGGGGTCCGAGTATCCTTTATGGTACTTCGTACAGGGGAGGAGTTTTTGAGTTCTTTGTACAATCTCATATTCCAGCATTTTGAAGTCTCTAACAGGTGCTTGAATGAATGAATGAATGAACGATGGATAAGTAGTTGAAAATCTCAGCACCCACGCTTAAATGTTGATGAATATATATTTGATTCATCATCGTATGATTATCTTAGGCTTATCATTACTGGTATAGACATCATTGGTAAAACATTAATGAAGTGTTTGAATGGAGCCCTCTGCTTGATTTTCCCCCTGGCAGCTACAGGTAAGTGGACAGAGCACGTGAAGAGAAAAAACCCCAGAATTCTCTTAGCTACGTACAGTGACTGGATATAGCACCTAGCAAGTTGCTCTGCATGGGGCATGCATTTGGTTAAAACTGGTTGAACTGAAGTGGATTCCATTTCTTTTAGTTTGTGGGGTTTGCTTAATATCTCAAAAATAATCACCAGCGTGACTATTTGGAATGGGAAGCAGCGATATTACACACATCGTGTAACTATGTGACATGTGTATTTTAACAGCAGGGTAGCCCCAGGTGTGGGAAATCTGTAAAGTAGTTGCCACTAAAATATTAAGCTTCATCATTTTTGTGAAGATTTGCTAAGTAGCATGGCATTGAGCAGATTTCCTTACGTAGCATGAGAAACAGACTTTTATTCACTGCCCCTTTTTTTGCCCAATTTCTTCAATTGATCCTATCAAATCATTACCAGTCTAGGGATTATGTATATTCAATGTATTACATAATAAAAGCTTTGTAAGTTGCTGAAATGACCAAAAACCCATTATGGCCAACAGGATTCCTTTGTCTTAAATTTGTCCAATAGGCTTATTCCATTTCATTATAATTAACATCCTATTATATAATGATGTATAACAAAAGTTTAAGTGTAGCAAATGGAGCTTAAGACTAATTACTATGCTATTACACTGCCATTAGTGATGCTATTTGTAATTATATATCAAGAACTAGGGAATATGGATTGGGCTCCTCTGTCATTTATCTACCTAGTCCCAGACTGATAAAGCCCAACTCTGAAATAGGAGGCAAAGTCTCCGAATTCCATTTATTCTTTTACGTCCGTTAAGCTATTTCGAGAGTCAGAGACATCTACTTATTGGCAATAAAGCAAAGAATGATGGCTTCAATGAATCATTAACAATGTAATCTTAATTAAATTCACTGTGATCAAAAGTTTCAGAGGCCTGCTGTTTTGTTTAGACCCCCAGATATTTGGAATTATCCAGATGTTCTGAGTTTTCCGTTTTTCATCAGAACGTTTCAGTGTGGCATACAGAGCTTGTATAGGAGTCTTTCTTCTTTGCTACAATCTTTGGATTCCACATTCTCTATGGAGTTTTGTAGATACAAGCAGAAATTCTGCAGGAACTAGGTTAGGTAGGGATGGAGTGGCTAATGGTAAATTGACTTGATCATATAGCCTTCTGCCCTGGAATATGCATTTCTTACCATGTACCTGACATTCTAGGTCTCAAGCACGACAAAGACCAGCCCATGGGAAGAATCTTGTCGAAACTCATACTCACTCGTGCAGTCTTCTTGTGAGATGTGGTTGTTAATACTAATGTCGTCCACGGCAATCCCGCCAAGATTTCCTTTTCCGATTTCTCCCTCAAAAATCACCTAACAAAATGAGAGCATTTTCACAGTATTTAAAATGCTGGTCTCACACAGCCGTGTTTACAAATGCTTGTTCGGAGCAAGCCGCAGCACATGAATTAGATTTCACATTGGCAGCAGCACACACTTCGCTCATGAATCCACATTAGCTGCTGGGGACGGAATACGACTTCTCTTCAAGCTCTCTTTTGATAATATAAACTTTTAAAAGGGGGGGCAAAAGCAGCAAATAAATGAAACGATACCTTATGACAGCCCGGACATAGATGACAAGGATGTACTTCCCCACCCTCTTAAGAAATTCGTTCTACTCCTGTAATCTAGGAGACTTGTAAAATCTGCTATGGGGGTGATCATCATTGCAGCAATAGCTCAGGGCTGGGAAATGCCAACAAGAATTTTTGGAATAATTCTCACATCTCATTTGCATAATCTTCAAAATATTATTCCAGTGTTTTGTTTCCTCTTTCTTTTCTTTTTTTTTTTTTTTTTGAGACAGAGTCTTACTCTGTTGCCTAGCCTGGAATTCTGGGGCGTCATAGCTCACAGCACCCTCAAACTCTCAGACTCAAGCAATCTTCTTGACTCAGCTCTCCTCCCCCACCCCCCACCCCCCGCCAGTAGCTGGGACTACAGGCACCCACCAACCCACCCAGCTAATTGTTCTATTTTTAGCTGAGATGGGGGGTCTCAGTTTTGCTCAGGCTGGTCTCAAACTCCTGAACTCAGGTGATCCACCACCTCATCCTCCGGGAGTGCTGGGATTCAGGCATGAGCCACAGCACCTGGCCCTATCCCATTGTTCTTAAAGCCACTGTCCTCCCCAGCCTAAGAAAAAGGGCACACCTGATAAAGTTTCAGAGACTTGTGGAGCAAGACTCGTCCTTCCTTCCAGTCGTCTCCTTGGTGTCCAATGGCCATCCAGACCAGCTGATCATACTCTTCCGGCTTCTGGTAGCGCAGTTTGACCCTCAGTGTGCCCACGTGGTTCCCAGACATGTGATACCAGAACGTCATGCAGTAGGCAGAGTTCTGGGAATAAACCACGGGGCTCACCAGGCGGGCCACTTTGCCTTTCTGATTTTCATCAGCCTGGGAGTAGATAAAGTTGCCATCTCCTGTTGTGACAAAAAACTCTGTTAGGGAGAGTGGTCAGCTTTCTGATTCTTCTTTCAAGTTCTATGAATCAGAAGTGTCCAGAGCGGAGCACCAAGAGACCACATGCTTAGAACTCACAGCCCTGCTTGAAGCTTTTGCAAATGGACATCTGATCAGGGGAAGGCTGGAAAGCAGCCCTACTAATCCCGACACCTGTATATGTGGAATGCGTTGTCACACGGGCACAGGCTGTGACTCAAATCAGCTTTTGCACCACCATAGGCAGACTGAAAGCCCAGCCCCGTGCACAGCCTGAACCAAGAATATTCGACTCTCTAAGAAGGAACTTCATTTCTATGCAACTTTAAGCTCGCTCAGAAGCACCCATGTGAACACAGACATTAAGTGGAATCACTGAGACGTCCCTTACTCATCACTGCAGCAGCAAGGACTTCTCAGCCGTGACATTTTGGTCACCATGTCTCCTTAATAATAATAAACCCACAGTTTTGCCTAACAAGCTAGCGTTTTTCTTTTTTTCGGTTTTCAAGTTCAGATTATTTTTTTCCCTAGTTCATTTGAATGGTTTATACGTTCCTTGAGCAAACCCGAGAGCTCGCTCTTCCACTGCGCACCCCGCTTTTTCTGTTTGATGTGGTTTCTGGTTCAGGGAGAGGCAAGGTCGCACGGCCAAGGCTCATTAGAACCTGCCGCCTTGGCACCGTAGACACTTGCCAAGCTGCGAGGACTTTCTCCTGGCTTCGCTTTTAATTACCCCCAGTGGGAACGTTCCCTCCTGCCGCCACCTGGTCTAAACACACCACTGTGTTTCACTGTTGGCTCTGCAAATAGAAATCACGTCCTTTAACGCCTCCCCTGATTAGGTGCGAATCTGATGCTTGGGCCTCCATAGGCAGCGGGATGTTGTGTTTGCTGCCCAAGAGACTGGAGTGTTTGCACGGGACTTTTCACTGTGCACAGGTGGGTACGTCGTCCTGTCTGCTCACCTGCGTCAACAGTGCCCAGGTGGAGGTGGCTGCGTTAGCTGGCGGCCGCCTTCCTTTACCTGGCTGCTTCTGCCAGATCCCACCTTAGCAGCTCTATTAAAGCCAGTGACTGCAGACTTCAATGAAGTGTGAAATAAGCCACGTGTCTCTCCTCTGCCTTTGTGGAGTGTCCCCTGTGACTGAGCCCACTCAGTCACCTGATGGGGTTTGTTTCACCCCACTGATGTAGGGCCACAATCTTAATGTCTGGGTGGTGGAGCCATTTCACTGAGGTGAGTCCATCAAGATGGAAAAAACACACCCGTCTTGCCCTAGTCCCTAATCTTAAGGAAAAAGCCCGAAGTCGGCCATGGTGCAGGGAGGAAACACATTTATGGAACCCACTTCCTGAGCTCATCTACTGGGGTTTCTTAGGCCAATCAGAGAGTAGGTGGTAGGAAGAGGGAGGGCACTGAACAGCGGCAGAGGGCAGAGGCTGCCTGAGAATCCACTCATGGCCCTGGTCCTGCTGGCATCATGGGCTTTCAAAAATGGAAGGTCTGTCCTCTGTTTAGACTTCTTCACAGGCCCTTCACTACCGTCAGCCTGGCCACACTTCCACACCAAGCTCCCCAAGCCACCCATGCTCTGCTTCTAGCTGACACTTTCCCAAGAGGAATCTGTCCAAGCTACATCACGCGAGATCCAGTAAAACAAGCCTGACTTAGATGGTCAGGGTTCTAGGAACCTTGTTACGTGATGACACCTTTTGCCAGTGTCACTCTCTGGCCTCTGCTATTGGACACCCTCCCCCAACTAGACTGTAACTGCTTCCCACCCACAACCAGACTGGGAACTCCTCAAGTGTAGGGATGCCCTCCGTCACACCTGTATTTCTAGCACCCCACACAGCATCTGCCATGTAACAGGGCTCCTCAAATAACATCTGCTCAGTGAGGGTGGACGCCGTGGCTCACGTCTGTAATCCTAGCACTCTGGGAGGCTGAGGCGGTGGATTGGTTGAGCTCAGGAGGTTGAGACCAGCCTGAGCAAAAGTGGGACCTCGTCTCCACCAAAAATAGAAAAATTAACCAAACATAATGGTGGGTTCATGTGTTCCCAGCTACTCTGGAGGCTGAGGCAGGAGGATGGCTTGAGCCCAGGAGTTTGAGGTTGCTGTGAGCTATCATGCCACAGCACTCTAGCATGGGGCAACAGAACGAGATTCTGTCTGAAACCAACAAAAAACACATTTGCTCAGTCAACTAGGGAGAGACGATTTCAGGAATCCTTTGTAAGGAAGTACATAGTATCAGTTATAAGAGGTTAAATACAGAAAATCAAGTAAATGGGATTCCTCGAAATAAACTCAAAAGTAAGAAGCAGGACATTTTCCCTAGATAGTATAAATTGGAAAAAAAAAAAAACCCTCAATGTCTAGTAAGCAAAGTTTCACCAAATATAGCTTTTTTTTTTTCTTCTTTTACTTTGAGAGAGAGTCTCACTCTGTCACCCTGGGTAGAGTGCCGTGGCATCATAGCTCACAACCTCACTCTTGGGCTCAAGCAATCCTTTTGTCTCAGTCTCCCAAGAAGCTGGGACTACAGGTATCCCACCCCCAACACCTGGCTAATTTTTCTATTTTAGTAGAGACTGAGTGTTGCTTCTGCACAGACTGGTCTCAAGCCCCAGAGCTCAAGCAATCCACCTGCCTTGGCCTCCCAGAGTGCTAGGATTACAGGCGTGAGCCACCGGCACCAGGCCACCAAATAATACCTTTAAAAAGTACCAGCCACTCTGTCATATCAGTCTGTGCAACGAGCTACGGGTGTGTAGGGCTCTTTTCATCTAATTTCTTTTTCTTTTTCCTGTTAACAAGTTCCTGCCTTTCAGATGTCAGGCTCACCCATCTCTCTCAACAAATGATGGTGTTTCGAGAGCTGCGGGGGCTCTTTCTAGTCCGAGCTGACCTGGCACTACAGCCGAGTAAATCTGGGTGGCTGGGGGAACAAAAGAGTCAGATCCTTCTGAATGAGTCGCACTTCTCTGCCGTGAATCCAAGACAAGCAAGCCCTCCTTTTCTGACACTCCGACACAGAAAGCGCTGATATTTTTCCCTTTCAAGGATTTTATCACAGTTCTGGGTCAGGAACTCTGTCTTCATTTTCTCAATTAGCACTTTACTTGTGCGAGCCTTTTAGCTTTTGTCTCTGGCTAACACAGCTTTTAACCTCCTTTGAATGTCAGATCCTACTGAGCCATTTTGCTTGACTCTGCATCAATTTTTCCACCATTACCGCCTTCATTTCGGCTAATTGCATTTAGTTAATTTGATGCCATTTCTATGTACAGTGCCATTTACAGTCAAAGTATTTTAAGTTTTCTAAAACTGCTTGTCTTAAGACTCAATTGAAAGTGTCTCCGAATTGAAGGAGTCCAATTTTATCCAATTTCCTTGTCATTCTCATTAGGCAAGGAGGTAGCCGGGGTTGGAAGGATGGTCTATTCAACCTATTTAATGGTTACATTCACTGGGAAGAAAAGTGAACCACAAAAAGGAAAAGGCGTGAAGCACTCTTGGCCCACGCCTCGGCCCACTGGCTCACACGCCCAAAGACCCCCTGTGGGAGAACTTAATGAGATTTCCCAGCATTAGCAAATACCCTCTGGGGTACCTTTTTGGGAAGCCACTGCCTGAGTAAGCAGTCCTCTGTAAGTATCACCGACTAGGGGAGAGAAGCTTGTGGATTGTGGGTTTGCTGTAAGTATATGTGCGGGTACACATTCTAGAAAAGGTAGTGCTGGTTCTCTTTTTTTTCTTTTTTCTGCAGATTTTTGGCTGGGGGCGGGATTAAACCCGCCACCTCCGGTATATAAGGCCAGCACCCTACTCCTTTGAGCCACAGGCACCGCCCGACCGTGCTGGTTCTTTAGGCCATACCTCAAATTGGGTGATGAAATGACCAGGAAGAAAACAGGATGGGGAGGGATAAGAGTTCACTGCAGTGGCCGCCAGTTCCCTCTGTCTTGCAAACCAGTCCTTCCCCAGCAATTAATTTTAGAAAGAAAATATAAGGCAAGAGGTTGGCTGGGTTGTGAGCTGAGGCACAGTGAGAATTCTACCTGCTCGCTCCACTTGAGGAAATGGGCTCAACTTAAAAATATTGCCCGAGAGAATAAGGATCTCCACCCCACCTTGTTCATCTCAGGGGCAAGAGAGAACAAGCACTAGGTTTGCTTCTTGCTTCTTGAGTTATAGAAAAATGAATGAGATGTCATAATATATGCCTGGACTTGCTTGAAAATCATCCAGATTCAGGGATAATAGAGACAAAATAAGTTCCTGTGATTTGATGATTTTTTTTTTTTAAAAGACAGAGTCTTGCTCTATGCCCTGGCTAGAATGCAATGGCGTCCTCATAGCTCACCACAACCTCAAACCCCTGCACTCAAGTGATCCGCTTGCCTCAGCCTCCCAAGCCGTTGGGACTGCAGGTGTATACCACCAAGCCCATCTAATTTGTCTGCCTTTTTTTTTTTTTTGTAGAGATGGGTTCTCACTGTTGTTCAGGCTGGTCTTGAACATGTGACCTTCAGTGATCCTCCTGCTTGGGCCTCCTAGAGCGCTAGCATTACAGGTTTGAGCCAGTGCACCCAGACTATGATTTGGTAATTGTTGAGGCAGGCTTAGGTAGCTATTGGGCTCATTAAATTAGGCCTTTTTCTACCTTTAAGCGTGCTTGACATTGTCTATAATGTGGAGGTCTGGAAAAGCATGAGACAAGTATTGATTCACACATTTTGCTGTTTTGTGGGGTGGGGGAATCAGTGGCCAAGTTCTATCAGGATTGCTACTACTTGCCCTAAGCTTATCTCTACTGGAGAAAGAGGCTTTGTTAATGCCAGACAGTTCAAGCACAAGTCAATGCTGTTAGTATTTTTCTCAACCCTCCTGAATTCACAGGCACCAGAAACCCTCTTCAGTAACACCCTCTGATTCAAACAGAACTTGTAAGACCTGGAGGCTCGGTGGGCTCTCTGTTACCTGTGTGATCCTGAATGGGTCCTGTCTTGCTGGTCAGCACGCTCCACTTGAGTTGCACGTGGTTGTCATGTTCCCAGTGACAGAACGTCTTGTGAGAGCCCCAGCCAAACTCGCAGTTAAGACCATATGTTGGAAACTCTTCCGTGGGTGGAAAGGAAAATAGAGACAAGCAGAGAAAGATAAATTTAAGCCTTTAGGGTCAGAAAGGCTCTTCATTTGTCCACGGAAAGCACGATTTACTCAACCTCACATCTGTTCAAAAATTCTGGGAAAGCCACAAAATCCTGGATTACCGGGAAACCAGAAGATGCACGGAGATGTCAAAATGTTTGCAAAATCACATTTAGTAATTTTTTTTTTTAAATCCAGCTTTAAAAAGATTATGAACGGCCTGACAAATTGAGTTTATCTAAAATTTCCAGGAAGGCTACTTTCCAAAGCACGTATGTGACATCTGCAGTATTCTTCCCATTTCCACAAATATTTAATATGAAAGGTACTCTGTTCTTGAGGATGAATCATATAAATTGATACCCACCAATGAAAAGAATCTTAATTAAGAGACTGATCCATGAGCCTCGAAAGTCTGGAAAAGTGACTTGGCAGGCTGCCTCATCTTATTCCCACCTCCCCAGCTGATGCTTCAGTTCTTTAGTGTCAGAGTAGAAATCTCAGAAGCATTTTCATAGCATTATTATTTTTTTTTCTTCTATGCCTTCTATCGGGTTGATTAAGTTTCTGGTCTTTTGGTGAATTTCTAAATTTACATATAAATTGTCCATTCCTCTTAAAAGCTCAATGCAAGGTCATAGGAAGCTGAAGCACATTTACATAGTGACCTATTTTTATTTTGGAATGTGCAAAATGCTTCCCTGGGAATCTGAAAAAGAAAGTGAGTGGATTCCCAGGACCGGTTATCTCTCCTGCCCTGCGAGGTGCTATCTGACCATGTTGATTTCAAAACCAAACCAATATATCCTGATTTTTTTATGCACACTTTTTTTTTTTTGGAAAGGAGCTTAACATTTTAAGTATGGGAAGAGTGAAATCATGGATACTTGGGATTTGTTTTGGTAAATATAAGTGAACAATAAAAAAAACATTCTAAAGATGAGATTCTCAGGCTTCTGCCCATCCCCCGCACTCTAAAGTCACACACACACACACACACACACACACACACAAAAGCGGCTGTTTCCACTTATGAAGGGGCTGCTTCACTTGTCACTGAGCTTAAACAGTCCACCAGATGGCAGCATTGACATGGACAGGAAGGCGCCCAGTGCCTCTTGGTCAATTGAACTTAAAAATAAGCCTCAAAAGAATCCGAAAGGAACAATAAGGGAAGTCTGGCATTCTAGGCGGTAATAGAGTCAGGCTGCGACCGTATCTCGCTTTGAGCTTTTCTTTAACTTGCCCAAGTGTTTAACACAAAGCCTCACACCTCCTCCCCTCTGTCCCAGCCTGGTGGCTGCCGTCCCTCCCCCACTGTCACAATGGCAGGAGGAATTTTAAGGGAAAGATTTATTGAACAGATGAGGATGGTTTACTTTGGATTTTTAGTTTCCAGGGAATTCTTTTCAAGTGCTCATATCAAACTTTGGAAGGCACCCACCCTAAGAATTGTCAACACCCAGCAGGTTGGTCTTGTCCCAAAGTCACCCCCCAACAGGTGGACCGTTTGGGGAAGTAAACTAGTAAGTAAGCCACCTGACATACATAACGTAAGCACTTTCAGTTAGCACAAAAGGGCTGTATTTCACAGCTATCATGTCATTGGAGAGATATATTTCATGTCTGGTCTCTCATAACCATGAAATAGGACTTCTGAAGGCATGAGAAACTCTCTCGGAAATTTACCACACTCTCGTGCTGCGGCGAGATTGAATTATGCAGATGAGATCAGCGCAACTGAACAGCAACTGAATGGCTGAGCAACCTTGGATGTCAACGCCCGCGACCCTGGAATGTACGGTTGCATAATCTCATGTTAGAAAACGTTAATCCTGGAAAATGTTAATGTGTGCATGTGTGTGGTTTTGATTTTTCTCCTTAAATGTACTTTAGAGGACAGGCCCAGTATGAGAAGGCAGAAAGCCAGCTCAGGACACACATGTCTGGTTATATTTGCCTTGGTAATACATTTCTTGGGTAGCCCAGACAACCACATCACCCATTACTGTGGCTATTAATATTCTGATGGCATGATAGAAAATATGTGATATTTTTATAATGACTCTAGGACACAGAAAAAGATGTTTCAGGCATCTCTCCTCACTGTAGTGAATGACAGTTTGCCTTTACTTTCCCATGTCCTTTCCAAGCCTGTGAATTTAACAAGGCAAACTGCTCTAACTTTTTGTAAGTGAGGGCTCGTTTATCTTCTTGTCTCCATCATATAACTTATGGCAATCATGCTTATTTAAAAGCATTTCTTTTAAATCAATGCATTTTGTGGGAGAGTGGCTCAATGTTGAGCATTCCATCTTGGCCGGAAAATAGCCGTAATTAAACACAAAATACCCATAAACATTTATATGAAGGAAAAAGTAAATTTAAAAAAAAAGAAAAAAAGAAGAGAAGAAGGGAAGGGTAGAAGGGAGGAGAAAAAGGGAGAGAAAGGAAGAGAAAAAATGTAAATGGAAAAATGGATCAATGACATAAAGAAATAGATATATAGGACTACTGACTTTTAAGTTTTCAAAATATTACCCAGGCCCTGAAGCTGCACAGGACTCTCATTAAGTTCAATGGGAATAATCTGGCTAAATCCCTTCTTGACTCTTAAAAATAGCAGGAAACAATATTCTGAACTTAAAACAAATTTATGGTCTCTGAGAGCAAGCACCAGCTGCGTTTGTTGAACCCATCTCTGCTGAAGTTGAATCATTAACACCATATATATGCACAAGGATTTAATTTTTAAATCTCGAATTCGAAACTTCTATTGAGCCTGTTAACACACTTACTCATGGACTGGTCTCTCAGTCCAAACAAGTGGAGGTGTTGAGACCCACATAATTACAGGTTACAGACACCCCCTGAGCTGCCATAGAAACATTGGATGATTCTCAAAGGGTAAGAGCCCTCACTAGCAAAAGCTGGATTAAAAATGCAGGGCTTCTCCTCAGTTCCTGGCAGACCATTTAATAGCCTTTTATGCATCTGATTACAGCCCAGACAGTATATGAATATTATATGCCCACTGAGTTTATTACATGGATAAGAGTCCTCAAAATGAAATCTTAAGACTGTGCTTGTGTCTATAACGGCTTCAGCAAAATTGAATTATGATGAAGATTTAGGGGTCGATTGATTTACTGCTTCTTGTGGACCCGCTTAAAAGAATCTGGAGAGTGGATTAAAGCCTCAGTTGGATGAATCTGACTGCTAGGTGGGTGGACACTGGGGACCCAATGGTGGACTAGCTAACCTCAGAGTTGGCTAGTGGTAGACTTGACCTCTGACCCAAAGCATGCTAAGGTCCTTGTACAATGCTCTGTGCATGGGATTAGCCAGAAGGTGAAAACCAGTAGAAATCCTTCATAGAAGGTCAGACAGTTCTTTCCCGACAAACAAGGACTTGGAGCCTTGACTCATGACCTCAGACAATGGGAAAACAGGAAACCGAGTCCATTCTCAAAGGACATTGGGTTGACCATGAAATTCAAACTGGATTGGACCACTCTTGATCAGTCAGTGTGCTTTGAACAGCACTTGTTCAGATGGTGGGAGCCACGGGTCTCACTGGTCTCATGAATTACTCACCTGCCCTCTGGACCCTGTGAGAGGGCAGACTGGCCGGTCCATGAGGCCATGATAAGAATAACCTTGAGGTCATGCACAAATCAAACAGGTTAACTACATTGTGCCTGCGCTGATCATACAACTCTTCAACCTTCAGGGAAGCCTGTCTAGGATTATCTATAAACTGAAGGTTTAGAGTGGATGGTAGTAGTCTTCCTTTTATTGACAGAACTTTCCATTTTCTCCAAAGCGGCTGTTCATTTAGATTTTTCTTTAATGGTCCCTTGCTCTTTTAATAAGCAAGGAGAAGAGAGATGAGATGAAGCAAATTAGTTGGCAACTTCATACTGACTGTAACTACTTTTCTGCCCAGAGAAGAAACTAAAACAATAGCAGACCTATTTGTTACGTGATCAGAACTTCATTTGTTCACTTCCCTCCTCTTCCCTATTCCAGAGGGATGTAAAGAGCCATCAGGATGTTAGGGAATCATCATGAGGTGTAAGAAGAGGTCTTAGGAAAGGTCACCGGTTCCTTCATGAGGAAGCTGTTGGTCTACCAGGTGGGTACACAATCTCTATCACTTCAAAAGACGTGTGTGCAAGACGACAGGGTGTTTCAGAATTTGGGTGATGACTGTTTCCTCTTTTGGTATTTGGGCTGTCTGGTGGCACGGGTTCCATCAACCCAAGCATACCGCAGGGCAACCTGGGGTTAAGTTGAGCCGAAGAGGAGTTTGTTTCGCAGTTTAATCAGGTCACTAAGTGACAGCAGTTCTTTAAGGAAGCATACTAATTAGAGCAGCCCTTTCTGCTTTCTGCCTTGCTGGGTAGTGTCATACCATTGAGGAAACATTGATATACACCACACGCCCCATTAATAAATGACTGTAGAGGCCAAGGCTGAGTGAGCTTCCATAAAGGAAATAGGAGAAGCTGGAAAGGTGACCTGTTCACCTTACACTAATGATTAACTTTGAAAGTATTTAAACCTCTGATTGCTCATGCCCACTGTTTCCCTTCGGGTGCATGTGTGTGTGTGGAGGGGGTGGGAAGTGGGGGGAAGGATTTCACAGAATACTAAGAAAAAAACCCCAAAGCGAGCAAGAGGAAGGCTGCGCTGTTTAACCGTGACCGGCCTCCAAATAAACAGCAAACTGTGGGCTTTAAAAGTCGTTACGCTGTTCTATTAATACAAGGAGCAGGAGGTGCCTTTCCCAAGGGCGCTCCTCTCCCCGTGCGCCCGGCGACTGTAAACTGTGGTTTCCTGCACCCCCGTTTTGTGGCCCGCCCACTGGAATCGCTGTTGTAAAACTGCCAGCTCCGTGGCAGGCAAAACTGACAAACTTTGCCTGTGTCGGTCTCGCAGGATTGCGATGAAAATAAATAGTCAGGCTGTGCTGCCTGCGAGATTTCCTTCTCCGAGAGTTTGCAAACACAACCCATGTCCTAGATGTACTGCTTTTAAACAAAGTATGTTACTCAGCTCCTTCCGTGGAGAGCCGGGATTGTCACCATTTGGCAATTACTGATGGAGAAGGAAATCTCTGTTCGCTGATGCATATACATGTGGACGAAGTGAAAACAATATTTATGGCTCCCGCTCGGAGACCAGATGCTGGGTGGCACCTCTCCTTCTAGGCCTTTCGGGGAAGCTGCAACCAACAGCAGTGCGCTATTTTCCTGGGGGGAGGGAGGGAGGAGAGAGGTATACAGAATCTCCTGTATTCTCTATTTTATTTGGTACCTGATTGCATGGTGCTGTCTAACACGGTCGGCTTTTCTGTGCTCAGCACCGTGGTACCACCTGAAAAACACAACACAAAGAACACATAAAAAAAAAATAAGAAAATGGTAGATAATTTGTAGAAGACAAATGCATGCTTATATACATCTATCACAGAGACCAACATTTCCCCTAGAAAATTCCTTCTTGAATTCCAGTAATAGTTTTGCTGACATTTTGCTCACCGCAATTTTGCATTCAAACACACCATTATTTTTTTTATACCTAACGCATTTCTTTTTTAAAAAATATTTTAACTGTACATATTGATAGTGTCCAATATGTTTTGACATATGTATACTTTGTGGAACGGCAAAATCAAGCTAATTGATATAATGTGTTGTTTCACGCACTTTTTTCTTTTTGTGGCAAGCGCACTTAAAGACTAGTCTCTTCCCCAGTCTCAAGTGCATAATATATTCTAACCCAGTTCTTTGTAAAGCATGAAGAAGGCATGAAGGGTTTGAGGCTTTGTTCCGAGGGCATTCTCCGATCCCCAGGCTGAGCGTGGCAGACAATCGCAACAGTGAAAAGCAAGGGCCTCTGAATGTCCTTGGTGACTTGGGTATTCAACTTGACCCAGACCTTTGAGCTTCAAATCGTTTTCCAAGGTTTCAGATGTGTGCCTTCAGGGAATTTGCAAGGCTAGGCTCCACAATTCTATTTAAAAAACTGGAAAACTGAAGGTTCAGAGTGGACAGGGGTAGTCTTCTTTTCATTGGCTGTTATGGTTGTTTATTTTTGCCAAGGACAAAGACTCTGGCCAGTATGTGGTTTGGAGAAGCTGGAGGAAGCAGCAGGAGGAAAGGGAAGGGGAGGAATATTTGTTTTGCAGTCTGAAGGAATTGAAAGGTTGAACAAATAATGCCCTGAACAGATAATACCCTGAACACTGTTCCTTTTAATCTGTGTGGATCTACTACTTGGTCAGGCATTCTAGACATTTAGCTTTGTCTTCTTTTATTCTGTCTTAACTCACCCATTTTCTACTCTTCATAATTAAACTTCTAAGTAGTGTCCTTCTTTTTCCCTCCAGAATATGAGGGGGTACCCATGTTTTGTTCACAGACTTTGTTTTTGTACAGCCTGAGTCAAAGTTATACACGTAAGTGTGCCCTTCCCTCTGCTTGTGTGTGCTGCACCCAAGGAGGGTGAATTGACACCTCCCCTCCTGCGACCCTCCCCATCTCACCTCCTCCTCCCCCCACAGCTTGATTTTCACTGAGATGTATGTCCATACATGCACTTAAGTGTTGACTTATTAAGTTCCAAATTGGTACTGAGTACATGAGCTTGTTTCTCCATTCTGGTGATGTTTCATTGAGAAGAACGGTTTCCACAACTCAAGTTCATTCATCAACATGCGAATGAATTAATAAACGGCGGTGTGTGTATACCATGGAATAAATATCATGTACGTATACCATCCCCCCCCCCCCAAAAGATGGAAATTTTGCAGCCTTTGTAACAACCTGGATAGATTTGGAGAATGTTCTTCTAAGGATGGCAAGATTGGAAAAACAAGCATCACATGTATGCGGTACCAATCTGAAATGTAGGAGATTAACAGTCACAGACTCACACCAGAGAAAAATTAAACTCAATTAAATTCAAGAAAGAGGGAGGAGGAGAGGAGGTTCAGTAGCTCCCCACCCAATGGGTACAATGCATGGATATATGGCGCACTCCCTGGGTGTAGGACACAACTGTAACTCTGATTTTTACCTGTCATGTGTAAAGTATATAACCTGGTAGGTTGTGCCCTCATATTAATCTGAAATAAACAAAGAATACAAAAATAAAAAAAGAAGAAACATGGTTTCCACTTCCCACTAGGTTGTCCAGAAAAGACCCCAGAGCACCATTTTTCATGGCTGAGTAGCACTCCATAGTAAGCATGGACCACATTTGATTAATTCATTCATGTATTGGTGGGCACTGGGTTGTTTCCACATCGTTGAGACTGTGAATTGTGCTGCTATAAACATTTGAGTGCAGTCAAGCAGCATTCTTACACATATCCAATCATAAGCACCACCTGAGTGCTGGCTGAAATTGTAGTGTCCACCTGTCCTCTCCAGACCTGAGAACCAGACTGTCCATGGGTAAGGCCTTGAAATCTGGTATTTATTTATTTAATTGTTTCAGGTTAATGTGGGGTATGAAGAATTATGTTACAATGTTTGCATCTGTTAGGTAGAGTCTGTCTTATAGTTGGGTCCGGCCCCCAAGAGGTGTGCCACACACCCTAACATTGTGCCCATTAAGGGGGAGCACACCCATCCTCCTCCTTTCTCCCCTCTCTGCACTCCCTCATTCCTCCACCCCCACTCCCCACCTTGAATTGAATTGAATTGAATTTTTCTCGTATGTGGGCATGTATTAGCTCATCTACTGGCTTCATATTAGAATTGAGTACACTGGATTCTTGCTTCTCCATTCTTGTGGTACTTTACTAAGAAGAATGTGTTCCAGCTCCATCCAGGTTGATACAAAAGACGTAAAGTCTCCATGTTTCTTTATGGCTGAATAGTACTCTGTGTTATACATATACCACAGTTTATTGATCCATTTCTGGGTTGATGGGCATTTAGGTTGTTTCCACATTTCGGCAATTGTAAATTGAACTGTGATAAACAGTCTAATGCAGCGGTTCTCAACCTGTGGGTCGCGACAGGTTGTAACAATGAAAATACATAGTGGCATTAGGAAGGTTGAGAACCACTGGTCTAGTGCAAATGTCTTTATGTTAAAATGATTTTTTTCTTCTGGGTAGATGACTAGTAATGGGATTGTGGGATGAAATGGGAGGTCTAATTAGAGTTCTTTGAGGATTCTCCAGACTTCCAAAAAGGATTGTATTAGTTTGCAGTCCCATGAAATCTGCTTTTTTGAAAGCTTCTCAGGGGAGTCTTACAAGCCACTAAATTTTGGTCAACAGCAGTTTGCTGTTTCTGCCTTAGTTTCTCCAGTGTATTTGCCAGGCAGATGATGGCTGGAGGTAACCTGTTATCCTGAGATAAAGAAAAGGAGTGATTCAGGGTGAAGGAGTAAGGAAGGTCCAAGACCATCACGGAAAGTTCTGGAGGTCATAAGGTGCTGTAATTGTACACTTTCCAATAGTATCATTCAATAAAGGTTTGTGGCAATCTTTATCAGGGCCAGGCCACTTCTGCATAATCAGAAATCCTGTCGCATATCCACAGTGTGAATCAGAGGGCTGTGAAACTGTGCTCTTGGAATGATGTTAAGATTTCTGAGCTAATCAGCTGGGGCAGCTACCCCTGATCTCCCAGTAAATATGTGGGCTGACTGGTCACACGTGTGCATGGCCTCAATAAGGCAGGCACTGGGAAGAGGAATTACATATATTAGGGGCTAAGAAGGTGAATCTGTAATGGCAGAATTGGAGGGAGGCCAGAATACATTAGCTTTCTGTTCCCAGTGGTCTTCGAGGAGAAAGATTCAAGGTGAACATCCACTTTTAAAACCAATATGCATTATCAGTTTTGTTATAGGTTGGGGGCCAAATTCCACTGTTGGGTACACAGAGCTCCAGTGTGAAATCTGGCCTCCTGGTGCCTTTGAAGCCAATTGTATTATCTCATGACTTCAAAGGCATTTGCAAATGAGTAACTTCAAGGGAGAATTTTCACCTTGGCCAGCAAGTCTGGGAGAGCAGCGTCTCTGCTCATTTCCATGGGTTTGCTACAGTTCACCTGGAATTCAGAGCTGTTTGTAAATAGTGAGCCTTGTGCTACAATATTTCTCCCTCCCCATATACAAATAGGTCACCCCAGGAAAAGAAATTAAATTGACACGCCGTCCTAAGAAATTTAGGACGCCACTAAAGACCTCGCTGATTCCAATTTCCAAAGCTCCCACCTCTCAGGGTTAAAGTAAGAATGCTCTTGGTTTGGCCTCATGACGCTGAACATCCAGAGTTTGTGGCTGTGGCAGTAAATTCTGTACTTTGCTAGTAGCTGGGCCAGAATTAGCAAAAAGGATGTAAAATTGAATGTGAGCACAGGGTGGGGGTGGGGGGTTGTTGTTTAGATGTAAAAAGGTACTTGGGTTCCGTGAAGCTTTTTCTCCTTGCAAAATAATCTACATGTGAGCGTATTCACTCTCAGAAAAGAATAACAAATAGCTCTGTAAAGTAAAATAAATTTCCTAAGAAGGAAAAATTGGCTTTTGTGCCATAAGTGAATAGGAAGCCTGAGACTGTCTCCTTAAAAAAAAATCACCTCTTCTTGGCTCAGCGCCCGTAGCGCAGTGGTGAGGGTGCCAGCCACATACACTGAGGGTGGTGGGTTCGAACCCGACCTGGAACAGCTAAACAACAATGGCAACTGCAACAAAAAATAGCCAGGCGCTGTGGCAGTTGCCTGTCAGCTACTTGGGAGGCTGAGCAAGAAAATCACTTAAGCCCAAGAGTTTGAGGTTGCTGTGAGCTGTGATACTACAGCACTCTACTGAGGGCAATATAATGAGACTCTGTCTCAAAAAAAAAAAAAAAATCACCTCTTTTTAATGAGGGTGTGGGTGGGCATTAACCCCTCTAAGGTTCTTAATATATGCAGGAATTTATAGAATTATTGAGAAAATAACTCTCTTCCCCCACAGTAATATATATTTAAAAAATTGGAATACATTGGAACGGTCTTAAAACCATTAGAATGAACTTTTTCCTACCTACTCAAGAAATAATTTAAACACTGTAGGTAAAAGCAAAACACTTTGTACTTTTAAAGGACTGTCAGTGTTTCCACTATAAATGCCCCATTCTCTGTGGTTTGTAACCGGCTGCCATACACAATTTGCTCCAGGCTAACCTACTCGCCCTGTTAGATTCAAAGGCTCAGTTTCAATTGATTCCGTCATGAACTAATGCAGAAATGAGAAGGCTGGTTGTTCTGATATGAGCAGTAAATCTCAGGCTTTGTTTCTAATCAATATTAACTGACCACTTTAGGGTTTATAAAGAAAAGAGCCCCCTCCACAGAGGGCAATTGAAAAGGCTATACTGTGGTACTGCAGCCATTCCTTTGTGTGAGACATTTTAGTAAGGACGTATGATGGAGTCTGAAAAACAGCCTGAGGTTTGTGGGGTGGGAGGTTGGGGGGAGTTGGGGGGGTTGGGGGGAGGTGGGGTGTTCAAAGGCAACCCCGGGGAGGTTCCGGAACAGTACTCTGTTTTTGACATCAGCTGTAAGGGTTTTCAACTTGAACTTGACATCTTACACAGAAAATGCCTCTGCATTAATTAAAGTAATTTTTGTGGCTTGTGGTTACATACGTACAAGATTTGCATTCCAAAGCCCATAGCGATGTGACATGTATTGGCCACATGAATATTAAGTGATTATCCTGGAAATTTGGAGAAAGACAGCTTTAGGAGGTAGGATTTAAAGGTAAACCCAGTTCATGCTATAAATTTCTGGGCTAGATTTTTTTTTTTTTTTACCCTTTATCCCTTTATTCCATTTCAGAGTGCAGAGCGCTCTCGCTCCTCCCGAGGAAAGCTTTTGAAGTAATTGGAAATGTACCGTAGGACACCTCCTTACAGACTTTGCACTAATGCATCAGCCAATAATGTGGCCTTATTATGCATCTACATGGTAACGCCTTTGGTTTTGCCCGTGGAAATTAATTATGTGGGCTCTCTGAGTCTCTTCTGGTTAAAAATACAGCTCTGCATTCAAGGGCTCTGTGTTTAATCTGAAATGAGAGTCAGATGCTACGTGAAACTGCATTTTGACCTGGGTAGGGGGAAGGGTCCCAGGATACATTTTGCAACAATAGGGTGAAAATCCTAGGGCCTTGGCCAGTGTCCAAATGGTGCAATCCCATTTCCCCACTTGCTTAATGTATTCTAAGTGGAAGAGAAAGTCACTTCCTAGCTTTTAGGGTCTTAGGAGATTAGGGAGTAACACTCTAGATTAATTAGTGAGGTGTTTGGCACACACCACCTCTGCCAGTCGGTAGTGACGTGAAGATGGCACACCAATTCTCCCTTTGTAAATTTTCATGTAAAACCATTTACAAAATCCCAATGTGAAAGCTGCCTTTCAAATATGAGCCTGATTTTATCCTTTAGTTGGATCAAGGAGTCACTCAAATAAAAATCCATCTGCATGAAAAAACGAAAACAAACACTCCAAAGTGGGTGGTTAGGTAGTGGTGGTGCATGTGCTATTGGTGGGGGCGGCTTGGAGATGAGGGTCAGTGTAGCACCTTAGTCCTACAGAAATTCTCATTCAATTAAGACAATCCTAGCCTGGAGCTCCGAAAATGGCTCAAATTATTGTTTCAAATGGCTGTGGCTATTAGGAACATCCATTTACGTGGATGGCATGAGGCAATGAACATGTGCTGTGTGCCGGCAAAGGAGGCCTCCAGTTCTAGGACAGATCAGCCACCACCTGATGTCATGCAGAGCTAGCAGAGTGCACGCGCACACACATACACACACACACACTCTCTCTCTCTCTGAAATGGCACAGCAATGGGATGAAGATGGCTTCTGCACCTGTGAGCTGGAAGTCATCACCTGTTCCACTGTGGCAGTTGGCCTGGTCATCATCACACTCGTCCACTGGGTTCCCGTTGGGAGTGGTTGGTCCGGCTGTAGGTGCTGAAACAAGATCCAAGGATTATTATCTCACACCTTCGAAATGGATTCTCAAGCCTCCAGCTGTTGGATCGGCTAACGCTTTGGCAGAAAACTTTCATCTATGGTAAGAAAACCAGGCACCCTGTTTGCCTCTCTTTCAGGAGCTCAATGTACTTGGATTCTGCAGAATGGATCAGAGATTCTTTTTTTTTTTTTTTGGTATTTGATTCATATCTGCTGGGTAGAGTTGGCTGCCTTAGCATTTTAGACATGCTTATCTACATAAACATCCCTTTTCTGAAAAGCCCTTGAATTCTGGCTGGCTATTTCATTCCCGACCCTGGAGTTGAGAGGTTTGATGAGGGAGATTTTGCCTCAACGGTTTTTCTTCTTTCATTTCCAAGGTGCTGGAGAACTCACTTGTCATGAATTCTTTTACATTCGTAGTATTAACTAAGTTTGCTAAGTTTATATTATATTTTCTCCCCCCCCAAGGGAGTCTCAATATTCACAGTTAGTACAATATTACTCTTTTTTAAGAGTCATTCCATTTCTGTGTTAAGGAGCTTCTCAAGCTGGGAACCCTCTCGCCAAAGCAGGTGTCTGAGAGAAGCTGTCTCAGATATCCTAGGGTCATTTTACCTGAACTCTCCTGGGATTGCATTCCTCTGCTGGCAGGTAGTCCCCTATCATTGAATTTGTAGTTGAAAAGTAGCCAACGTTAATCAAAGACTGCTTTTGAAGTCTTTTAAATTTAGTTGGGTCTATATATTTTTTTTTTCTCTCAGTCTGTTACTCATTTTTGCGATCTGTTTAATATTTTACAGTTTTCGGCATTACATTTCACTTTACGAGATTTGAGATAATGTACGGTTCTCTTGATGTCTGAGAACCAGACAAGATGCTGGTGGGGGGGTGAGGGGAGGAAGGGGTTGAAGAGAAGGGGCTGCTCTCTCATCGCTTCTGGCTGGGAGGAGGCAATAACTTGCTTTCTCAATGAAAATTGGACACTGTTTGTTACACTGCTTATGACAAATGGAGAAACACAGCTGAGTTTCCACTTGTTTAACTGGTCAGCTATACACACCAATAATCAGAAGGAAATCCGTGTGCACGGATAGTGTGCACACCCACTGAGACGTGCAATCTAGACTTGGTCAAATGCAAACACACACCTTCTGCCCTCACTGTATGAGCAGACTTTTCTCCAGCAATTGGAGAGTTGCCTTCCCTAAGTTCTCCCTGCTCTTGATAATGTGCTACTTTTAAGTATCTTAAGCTCCCCGTTCATTTTGCTGACCTCGCTGCATTCCTTATGGTGTTTATAAAGGCAGACTTCCACGTTGAAAGTGGCCCTGGGCAGTGCCTACGTTCCACGGAGAAAAGTACTGAAGAGAATGCTTTGTCTGCTCTAACTTTACCATTTGAAAATAGATTAGCTTTTGTAGATCTCTCAATGGTCTCTCTCTCCCTCTTTTTCTTTCTTTTTTTTTTTGGTGAGACTGAGTCTCACTGTGCCCTCAGCAGAGTGCAGTGGCATCATCCCACCTCACTGCAACCTCAGACTCCGGGGCTCTGAGATCCTGCTGCCTCAGCCTCCTGAGTCGCCGGGACTACAGGTGCATACCCAGCTGTGTTTATTTATTTTTAGTTTTTTTAATTTTTTTGTGGAGACAGGGGTCTCACCCTTGTTCAGACAAGTCTCAAACTCCTGAGCTCAAGCAATCCTCTTGCCTCAGCCTCCCGCGGTGCACAGGTGTGAACCACTGCGCCTGGCTTTAATTGTTTCTTAAATACAGTAGAAGTGCTAGTTTAAAATCGGATGGGTACACATAGAAGGCTGGACTTTAGCCTCTTTCTGTATCTTTTTAGGTGTCTCCTGTTGCCACAAGGCACAGAGTACATATTTAATAAAGGCCTGATAATCGATTTAAGATAGAAGAAACACACTCCTTTTCACCAGTGGTGTTAAAAAGCTTTGACGTTCCTTTCCCTGGATGCTGGTTTCACATACACAGCTCGAGGCAACTTCCTCACTTCTCAGAGCGCTTGGAAACATCTGGAGGCAAATCCCTTCACCCACAGTTTCTACCTCACCACAGAGTTGACACTGGCAAGCTGCCACCAGGCTCAGCCTTTTCCACCATGGATTCATTCCACCTCCTAAATCAGAGCTGGCTTCCAGAACCCAGGCTCAAGACCTGCCTTAGCAGCAGACGCCCTTTTCTAGCTGATGGCATTTCTCAGCAAATCAAATGAATGCATCCACGCTTTGTGCAGTCTGCCCATCCCTCTTTTTTTTTTTTTTTTTTTGGCATCGTTGCCAAAGCCCTGGCACATGGTCATTCTTGGTCTGTGTTGATAGCAATTGGATAATTTAGGAGTCCAGGACATGACTACAGACACGAAAACAACCACCCAGTAAAGAATGGGGGATAATGGTGTGCTTTCAAATAAACACAGGGGAAAGGAGCCATGAATTATTCATCCAGGACTGTGGTGACTGATAGCTGAAGACTTCGCAGTGCATGAGAAAAGTTGTATGGGTGTTTAATGGGCTCAGGAGTGTAATTACACTGGGGTAGTTCAAACACAATTTGAAAACTGTAAGAAGGTGATATTAAAAACAGCAGTCTTCAGAACTATTACGAGCATAAAGGCTCTATTGATTAACATCTGGATGTCAACTATAGGGGTCCTTTGAGCCAGCCCGGAGAGGACCTCTATGGAGATAGAGAAGCTGGTATAAGTAACCCATGGATGCTTAAATCTAAGGCTGATGGGAATTCCAGGGCATGACAATATTCAGTAGTAGAATAACCAACTCAAAACATTTCTCTCATTCATGATGTGTTAAAAGAGAGTGCAGAGCTGAGGTCAATGTGTGAACCGAATTTGTGCAGCATACGACCTTCATGGAATAATCTAAGTATCTGTCGTTAGCTTCCTCAGATGGACTCACTGTATTTTCATACACATCATCTCATGTGTCATCCTGTTCTCTCTGCAGCAGTGTAAGAAATTCATCCAAGAATGGGTGGAGGGAGGGGGATTTGAGGGTTCACTTCTGTGGTTTATCCTACAAGGGTACAAGTAAATCTTTCTAAGAGTAGAATATGAACGTTTTAACACCATAACTAAGAAAACGACATGAAGGCTATGTTAACCAGTTTGATGGAAGTGTTTCGGATTGTGTGTGAAAACACCACACTGTGCCCCAGAAGTGCATTAATATACACAGTTACCATTCAATAAAAAAAAAATGAAATTCATCCAAGATAACGCGTCTTGATGCCTTGGTCTATCAAATGCTGCCTCCTGCCACTATGAGATGATATTCAACACTGCAGACACAAGCTGGATCAGACACAGACCCCTGAACGATATTCAAAAAGGCAAAGGAATTCGTGGTTGCTAGGAGCTGGTGGGAGGAGAAAGAGGATTGATTACTTGCTTACGGGGTACAGGGTTTGGCTTTATGGAAATATTCTGGCAATTATTGGTGATTGTCCAACTAAATGGCGAATGTACTAAATGCTACTAAGTTGTTCACCTTAAAAAGGTAAAATTTTTGTTATGTGAATTTTTCCTTAATAAATTATTATTGTTATTATTATTGAGACAGAGTCTCACTATGGTGCCCTCCATAGAGTGCTATGGCGTCACAGCTCACAGCAACCTCAACCTCTTGGGCTTAAGCGATTCTCTTGCCTCAGCCTCCCACATAACTGGGACTACAGGCGTCGGCAACAATGCCTGGCTATTTTTTGTTGCAGTTGTCATTGTTGTTAGGTTTGAACCCACCAGCCTTGGTGTATGTGTCTGGCGCCATAACCACTGTGCTACAGGTGCCTAGCCCTTAATAAATTATTTAAAAAAAAGAAAAGTCAATAGAGACTCCCCTTACCCCACCAAAAAAAGAGAGAGAAAGACAATCGCATGGAATTGAAGATGAGTCACACAAATAAGCGAGACAAAAGTCCAATCATGGCAGGCGTCAGAGCATGGCGCCACACTGTAGGGCAGGCTGGGAGACACAGGGTCACAGGGTAGGTGGTGGGGACAGGGAGGGAAGGGTGGCAATTTGCAACAGCATCATCAGGGGGGCACAAATGCACGAAAAAGGAAATGAACAAACCAAGTAGGGAACGAGAAGGGACTCTGCAAAGTGTAATTACCTTCGACTTCACAGCCCAGCAGCTCCATTCTCAGCCCGAGCCCGCCGTGAGTGGCTCTCTCGGGGTAGATTCTGATGAATCGTGTGGAAAGAGGTGGAAAAGTCCGCAGTTCAGGTGTGTCGTAGTTGTTGTTGCCCTCAAAAGACTGTGGAGCATGAAAAACACAGGCCATTAAGACACACACACACATAGACAGAGAAGATAAGACCTCTCTTTCATTAGTTGTTTATTCCCCCTCCGTCACCGCTCTTAATAGTTTAGAGAAATGGGCCTCGTTCCATCCCTTGGTAAATGGCTGACATTGTTTTCACAGATGAGAAGGAAGAAACAATGAAACCTTCTCTGAGAAGTGACAGGTGCCATTTCTAAGACACTTCTGCGTATACACTCAGGCTCTACTGGGAGCTGAGGATTTGATGAGACCTATTTCTAAATGACATGGTGATACCCCTTGGGGCAGGGATACTTTTATCACCTCCTTGAGGTGGAGGAAGATAGGAAGAGAACTTGCCATTTTTTCTAGCGCGTCCACATATGTAACAGACATACGTTTTTAAGAAATACTCCTGTTACATTCTCTGAAACGAGAGAGTCCTCATTTTGCTGAAACTTGGCCTTCTAGAAGAGGGAGGAATTACACTTCTGAAGTAGGAGATAGTAGCTTTAACGCAGTACAAAGGCTGTTTATTCAAGAACTTGGGTTATTCCAAACCATTGAAATTACTGTTTACTTAAGAAGTATCACCAGTTGGAGTCATTTGTAGATAAAAGACCTTCTTGGGTCAGGAAAGTACCAAGGGTCCTGACGGTTCAGTAATGTCCTGGTTGAACTGCATGCAGGATGACCCAGCACCTCTTTTGAAGTGTGTTCCCAGTTTGAAGTCACTGTGACACTTTTCAGGAGTGCAGGGCCACCCATTGCCACTCTGCTGTTGAATAATATCATTTCCCTTTTTCCTTTGACAGGAAGGTCAACATCCTTGAGTGGAACCATAAGAAAATGGAGCAAAGACTAGGACTGTTTTCTTTTTCAAGAAATGGATAAGCCTTACTATATCTTCTCCAAAACCCATTCTTTTTAAAAATAAACTGTCTTTAAAATTTTTTTAACCACAATTTCTTCCCTCTCCTTTCCTGCCTTTCCTCTTTTTTTTTTTTTTTTTCCAGATGGAGTCTTTCTGTGTCAACCAAACTCCTGGGCTCAAGGGATCCTCCAGCCTCAGCCTCCCAGGCAGCTGGGACTATAGACACATGTACCACCATTCCTGGCTCTGACACCATTCTTAATGCAATCCAGGGGGGAAAAGGGGAGGAGAATTAGAAAAATAAAACAGTGGCTCAGCACCCCTAGCACAGTGGTTATGGCACCTGCCACATACACCGAAGCTGGCGGTTTTGAACCCAGCCTGGGCCAGCTAAGCAACTGCCAAGTGCAATGACAACTACAACAGAAAAATAGCTGGGCATAATGGCTGGTGCTAGCTACGAGTAGTAGTCCCAGCTACTTTGGAGGCTGAGGCAAGAGAATTGCTTAAGCCCAAGAGTGTGACGTTGCTACGAGCTATGACGCCACGGCACTCTACTGAGGGTAACACAGTGAGACTCTGTCTCAAAAAAAAGAACGTTTTGTCATTGGGAATGTCCTTTTTTATATATATCAAATATTGTATGTAAGGCATTGTTCTAAGTGTTTAAAATACATTAACTCAGCTCAGCGCTTGTAGCTCAAGTGCCTAAGGTGCCAGACACATATACTGGAGCTGGCAGGTTCAAATCCACCCCAGGTCTGCCAAACAACAATGACAACTACAACCAAAAAATAGCTGAGCTTTGTGGTGGGTGCCTGTAATACCAGCTACTTGGGAGTCTGAGGCAAGAGAATCGCTTAAGCCCAAGAGTTTGAGGTTGCTGTGAGGTGTGATGCCACGATACTCTACCCAGGGCGACAGCTTGAGACTCTGCCTCAAAAAAAAAAAAAAAATACATTGACTCATTTAATCCTCAAAATAATTCCATGAAATAAATTCTAGTATTATCTTGCATTTACAAATGAAGAACTGAGGCACAAAGCAGCCAAATAATTTGCCATGGCCACAAAACCAGTAAGTGGTAGAGCCAGGGTTTAAATCTAGGCAGTCTTTTAAAATTTTCTTTCTTTCTTTCATTCCTTCTCTTCCTCCCTCCTTCTCTTTCTTTCCTCTCTCTTTCTCTTTCTTTCTGCCTCCCTCCCTCTCTCTCTCTCTCCTTCCTTCCTTTTTTTTTTTTTAATAGAGTCTTGCTCTGTTGCCTTGACTCGAGTGCAGTGGCATCAACATAGCTCACAGCAACCTCAAACTCCCAGGTTCAAGCAATCCTCCTGCTTCAGCCTCCTCAGTAACTAGGGCTACAGCTGGGTGCCACTATGCCTGGCTAATTTTTTCTATTATTTTTGATAGAGATGGAGTCTCAGCCTTCCTCAGACTAATTCTGAACTCCTGAGCTTAAGTGATTCTCCCACCTTGGCCTCCCAGTGTACTAGGATTACAGGCATCAGCCACTATACCTGGCTTTTTTTATTATGATTTTTATAATATTTAGTAGAGAAGAGGGGGTCTCACGATGTTGCTTAGGCTGGTCTTGAACTTCTGACCTCAAGTGATCCTCCTGCCTTGGCCTCCCAAAGTGCTGGGATGACAGGTGTGAGCCACTGAGCCAGGTAAACTTAAGTGGTTTTAACTGGTGCCCTTCACCAAATCATCTAGTTGAGTCCCCTCTTTTTTACAGGTGAAAACACCATGATCCAAGACCATCTGTGCCAAAAGCCATACATTCAGTTTCATTAATTTGTCTTGCAAATGGGGCTAGTAGGTAGATCAGATGGGGTGGCTGGGTGGAGACACATAAACCAGCCAAAAATAGGCTCATTCAGTGGGGATATGTCATAACAAAGTAATAATAGAAGCATGTGGAGTGAAGACAGACAGGTTGGGTAGGTTGTAAGAGAACCTGGGGGTTCTGAGTTCTGGAGGGAAATTAACTGGCCTTTTCCAAGTGAGAAAAGCCTCCATCCAAGTACTTCAAACTGCATTGCTAAGTGAGACCTGCCTCTTCCAATCAAAGTATCCTTCTATTTTTTTTTTTTTATCAAGAGTAAATTCACTATTGGGGTTCTGCACTCCTGATAGAACTGCAATTGCTGGCAGTAATTGAGAATTTGACATATATTATTGTTAGGCCCAATTAAGTTGTTGTCAGTAAGATGCTAATTATAATGAAAATACCATTACTACACATGCAAGTTCTGTCTATTTAACATAGCTCCAAAGATCACAGCAGAAAAGCATTTATATGTATGGCATCCCAGGCTCGTCTCTGAATTTTAACTTGAGCAAAGAATTAATGCAAAGTAAATACATCATGAGAGCCGTCGGTGGTGAGCCGGGAAGAATATTAGCAATGAAAACCCATATGGAACTCGGCTAACTTTGATAGCATAAGCTTGCTTATGAATTCTCTTTGTGGTCTGTTGCTAATTATGTTTTAAAAAGATGAGAGCTTTGGGTGTCTCGATTTTCTATCCGTTTCTGAAAAGTCTAGTTAAGAGACTCTGATAGAGCTTGTCCATCATGCACTATTTTGGGATAGGGCGTGAATATAGGGGAGACCAAATTCTCTTTTTACTTTTACATGAAAGGTACGTGGGGTTCTAAACAGGTAACGTTCATTTGTAAAATTAAATACGGCTTTTTTTTTAAGCTATCCTTATCCAAGGTGTCCATAAAGTTCCAATGCAATTTTTAAGTTCCGTGCAATTTTTAATGGCGTGCTATTTTCAATTGCACAGGAACTTTATGGCCACCCTATATAATTAAAAAAAAAAAAAATCCGCTGCTCTAAAAGGAAAGGTTTCACCAGTTTCCTTTCTCCTCTTAGAGATTTTACGTCCGCAGAAAGGTGTGTTTTGGACCACAGATTAGGCTGTATAGCAGCGGTTCTCAACCTGTGGGTGGTGACCCCTTTTGAACAATGAAAATACATTGCGGCATTAGGGAGATTGAGAACCACGACTCTATATCAACCATTTAGAAGCTTTACGGCTTGCAGTGTCACAGGAAGATGATGATGACGGAACGGATCATATTTGAGGCATTAACCCTAACGCATTCAAGCGGTCTTGGAGTGAGTAGTCTGTTACAGCTGAAAACATGTGGAGGCTTCCCGGGGAACTCTCTACTCCATTCACAATACAGTGATGGCTTCGGACTTGACTGCAGACAACAGAGGGGGGGAGAAACAGACGATGCGCCCTATCAGAAGCATATGGCGATTTGTTTTCTCTCTCTCTCCGAACCCTAGTGTTGAAGAACATGTCACACCAGCACAGGCTGCCACGGCAGCAGCAGGAAGTTGTTGATTTGCAACATATTCACACTTTCTCATGCAGTCACGGGGAGGAAACACTCCCTGCTCTCAGACGAGATCAGCTCAGAAGGGAACTCTGGTTTCTGGTGTACTTTTTCTTTCCCCCAAACAGGAGGGACAGATGTAAAAAAGGAAAACGAATGGACGGGGCAAAGAAGGTGGCTGCACACAGAAATACAAGATGAAAAATGGTTTAGGAAAAGCAAGTGGAGGAGGGGAGACCCAGAGGGAGAGATTCCCCCATAGGCCTTTCCAAGAGCATTGCACCTGTCGCCCTGTGGGCGGTCGGCTGCTCTGGGGCTGACCTGTAGCCCTTGGGGGACAGGGCTATCTCCTTGGAGCCTCACATCTGGACAGAGTGGGAGCTGGAGGCCTGTAACGCCTCTGGCCTGAGTCACTATTTTAAACCATCTGAGTATTCCTACACTTCCTTAGAGTGGGAGTGAGGATAATAAATGAACTAAAATCTTTTTTGCAAGAGGAGTAGGTCCAAGGCAAAGCAGGGATGGAATATCTAAGACTGGAAGGCCAACTGTGTTGGTGTGAGGTATCATCAGCTCAATACAATTCCCTCACTGCCTGTAGAGACTAAACTGCTGATTGTGGTGGGTTGTTCCTTATCTGAATCCTAAACCGGCTTCTGGGCCACCCTGCACAGTCTCTGGACATCCTTTCCAAATTGGTTTTGTGTGCTCAGGAAATGCAAATGATTTTGCCATCAGCCTAAATAAACCATAATCGCTAAGGGAGATCTGACTGGTAACAAAAATTACACTATATAGGCTGGGCACAGTGGCTCACGCCTGTCATCCTTGCACTCTGGTAGACTGAGGCAGGTAAATTGTCAGAGCTTAGGAGTTCGAGACCAGCCTGAGCAAGAGTGAGACCCCATCTCTACTAAAAATAGGAAAACTAGGTGGGTGCCTATAGTCCCAGCTACTCAGGAGGCAAGGGATTGCTTGGGTCTAAGAGTTTGAGGTTGCTGTGAGCTATGACACAAGGGCACTCTACCCAGGGTGACAGAGTCTCATTAAAAAACAAACAAACAAAGAAAACCACATAGCATATATTTTGGTGGCTGTTGGAATATTTCTTTCTTTTCACTGCCTTATCAAAGAGACCAGCTGCATTCTAAAAGGCTTCAGTGCATTTAAATATACTTAAGAAACAGTCACAATAGCTAAAAGGTGGAAGCAACCCAAGTGTCCATGAACAAGAAGAATGCACAGACAAATGGCGGCCTATGCAAACAAGGGAATATTATCTGGCCTTGAAAAGCATGGGAATTCTAACACGTGCTACAACACAGATGGTCCTTGAAGACATTATGCAAAGTGACATAAAGCATTCACAAAAGGACAAATACCACATGAGGATCCTAAAGCAGTTGAATTCATAGGAACAGAAAGCAGAAGGGTGGTCACCAGAGCCTGGGGCTGGTGAGTGGGAGTTGCTCCTCAGTGGGTATCAACATCAGTTTGCAATAGCAGAAAGTTCTAGATGTTGATTGCACAACAACATGACCATACTTAACACAACTGAGAACTGGACAGTTAAAAAGGTTGAGATAATCGATTTTATATTACATGTACTTTACCCGAATTAAAAATTTAAAAACATGCTCATGCCTGTAATCCCAGCACTTTGAGAGGCTGAGGCGGGAGGATTGCTTGAGGCCAGGAGTTCGAGGCCTGCTTGAGCAACAAAGGGAGACAGCTGTTTCTGGCGATGTGTACACCTAGCTACTGGGAAGACTGAAGCAGGAGGATTGCTTGAGCCTGGGAGTTCAAGGTTGCATTGAGCTGTGATTGCACCACTGCACTCCAGTCTGAGCAAGACAGAGTAAGACCTTGTCTCAAAACAGACAGACAGACAACCCACAAACACAAACACTTAAATGAGGGGTGGTGAGAGAGAGGGAAAGAGAGGACCCAAATGGCAAGAATAGCATGCCACCTTTGTCTATCCACTCCGATCACCTCCACCTTTTAGCTGCTGTGAATACTGCTCAAGTGTATTTCATATGCATTGAAGACTTTTAGAATGCAGCTCGTCTCTTCATAGTCCAGTGAAAAGAAAAAAATATTCCAACATTCACTAAAATATATGGTATAATTTTTTTTTTTTTTTGAGACAAGAGTCTCACTCTTTCATCCTGGGTAGAGGTCCCTGGCATCATAACTCTCCTCTCAGCAACCTCAAACTCTTGGGCTCATGCAATCCCCTTGCCTCAGCCTTCTGAGTAGCTGGGGCTACAGGTTCCTGCCACATAGGCCTGGCTGGTTTTTCTATTACTAGTAGAGAGGGTCTGAAGCCTCGCTGGGCTGTGCGCTCAGCCCAGGCCATCACCCTCAGGGCTGCCCTGTCCCCTGTCTGTCTGCTGAGCTATCCATCCATCCCCACATGGAGGGAAAGGAGACCAGCAACGCAGTTTTCCCCATGTTATTCCAGACATCACTTTCCGCGTAGTAGATGGGCTGGGGGGAAGGGGCCTTCCTGACACCATCACACACGTCCTCTGATCTCACAGTTGGACGGAAATGGGAATCAGCACTTCCTCAGGAAAACACCTCTACTCAAGTCTAGGCTGCTGGGCGCGCCTTCCACGCAGCGCGGCCTCACCTTGGCCTTGCGTTTGCTGTCATCCATGATCATCTTCCAGTCCGAGCCGTTGTTGCTGTACCCGATCTTGAACTTGCGCATGAACACCTTGTTCTCGCGGTGCTTCCCGCCCTGAATGATGAGGCCGCGGACGATCTTCTCCTCCCCGAGGTCCACTTGCAGCCACTCGTTGTTGTACGGGTGCGGGCTGGGGGGCAGCGCCCAGCCGGAGCGACTGGTCACCAGGCGAATGTTCTCGGGCATCCAGTTTCTGTCCGCCTGGTTCGAGGCTGTGATCTGGGAGTCAGAAATGAGTCCAGACACCATGCCCAGCATTCCAGAGCAGGGGTAATCTAGGAGATGGGAGGAAATCCATAAGGTGAAATGATTTTCTGGGAGACTCCATGCTTAGAAAGCAAATACAACACACTTATGAATAAAGGCATGGTGTTAAATGCATTCGTATGACATTTTAGATTTCTGGATTCTTTTAGGTTCTTTCTTTCTTTTTTTTTTTTTTGAGACATCTCACTCTGTTGCCCTGGATAGAGCGCCCTGGCTTCATAACTCATGGCAACCTTAAACTCCTGGGCTCAAGCCATCCTCTTATCCCAGCCTCCGGAGTGACTGGGACCACAGGCACTTGCCAGCAAGCTGGGCTAGGGTTTTTTGACTTTTAATAGACACGAGTTCTCTTTTGCTCAGGCTGGTCTCCAGCTCCTGAACTCAAGCAATCCACCTGCCTTGGCCTCAGAGTGCTAGTGGATTCTTTTACATTAATCTATAGTCGCCCCTTTCTCAAACCTTTCTCTTGCTTGTTCAGAATTCCTTTCTCTACGTCTCCATCCCAGTAGAAGATATCTTCAGTAAGAACATGCACAACCCTCCCCCCTCTGGAATTTTTTCAAGTTTAATGTTAAATTATTAATATCCCCATCTCTCTGGTAACCAGAAGTTACCCCCACATCAAGTACAGGCCCTGTCCGAAAGAAGGTCACAGTTTATGACAGGTTGGAGATAATGTAAAAAAAAAAAAAAAAATCAATTCAAGAGCAAGAAAGTTGCTAAAACAAAGGTAAAAAGACAGTGATTTGGAGGTAAAAGGAAAGAAAATATGTGACTTTGCCTGGAAAGGCAAGAAGGGACTTCCCAGGGGGAGGTGGCATCTGGATTGAGTGTCGAAGGACAGTGCCATCTTCTCCCCACCCTGACTTTTAGTTGAATTAGGGACTTTCCATATGAAGGTCTCATTGTATGCTCAAAGTACCACATCCAGGTTAAGACAGCCCTTTCCCCTTGACACTGAATCCTTTTACTGAACCCGGTATTTTATTTATTTCTATTTTTATATTTTTGTTTTCAGACTGGTCTCAGTCACCAGGCTGGAGCACAGTGTGATAATAGCTCACTGTACCCTCACTCCTGGGCTCAAATGATCCTCCTACCTCAGCCTCCCAAGTAGGGGGACTACAAGTGCTCATTACGATGCCTGGCTAGCTTTTTTTTTTTTTTTTTTTGGTAGAGATGGGATCTTGCTATGTTGTCCAGCCTGATCTAGAACTCCTGGCCTCAGTGATTCTCCCACCTTGGCCTCCTGAACCCTATATTTCAATTGGTGGCATCTCCAATCAACTAGTTCCCACCTATTCATCTTGTCTTTCCCTAGTTTCCATTCTGTTTATACTGCCAAATCCTGGCATGTTTTTATAAAAAACAAAACAAAACAAAACCCTTAGGCTTGCCTTTCCAGTTCCCTTTATTTAGGGCATCATTGTGATATGAACATCCATGGCCAGGGTATTACTTTGGTTGGGCCTCCCAGACCCTGGTCTCAAATCTCCAGTACACTAACTTTTGTGTAACTTTTCATAACACACTTGTTTTTTTGTTTGTTTTTGGTTTTTTGCTGTGTCATCCTCATGCTCAAAAATCTCCCATTGCTGAGTAAAGGAGGCCAGACAAGAAAGGACAAATATTGTCCAATTCCAATGATATAAGCTTCCTACAATAGTTATATTCATAGGCACAGAAAGCAGAATGGTGCTTGCCAGGGCAGGAGTGGGGGGTGGGGAGGGGGCAGGGAGGGAGGAGACCTCAGAGCTAGTGTTTGATGGGTACAGAGTTTCAGTTTAAGATGATGAAAAACTTCTGGAAATGGATAGTGGTGATGGCTGTACAACAGTGCAGTCACACCGTACACTTAAAAACCATTGAAGTGGCACATTCTACGTTGTGTATATTTTACCATATTAATAAAGAAGAGAGATCTTTTAAAAAATCTACCATGGCTCTCCATGAATTATAGGAATATATAAACAATCTCTATCTGGATTTCAAGATCCTCATTTTGCTTTCACCCCATTATCTAATTTTATTTCCTATTATTGACAATATAGTCTAGTTAATCTATTTTCTTCTTATACACTCCGTATGTGCCGTATAGAACCCAGATCGGTTGACGATTCTTTGTCTCACAGCCGCAGCTAAATTAGCAGACGCTGGAAGGGAATGGGCATCATTCTATTTTCTAAAGCATCCCAGATGGCTTCTGAGTACAACAAGAGCCTCGATGGTTGATTGAACTGATTGGTGACTTAGTAGCAAAATGTCCAATTATTCCCCTTTCAAAATCGCACATCTCAATCGCGGACACGCATCCAGGGATAATAACTATTTTTCTCTGAAACAACTCCATGCTGCATGATATAAAAAAAAGTAGTCTAAAAACATGACCACCTTGAGTGAAAGGCATTCTTATGCTGCAATTAACTACTGCCATGTGAGCTGTATTTCATTCATACTAGTTTTGAGTCTGGGGCCTCATGAAGTGTATGTAACTCACACGTCTCTTGACCTACAACACTGTGGCCCCAAGGATAAAGAGTTAATTATACAGATATACTTTCCACAGGGGTCGGGCAGTTCAGGTCATTTTAATTCTTATCTCAAACATTCAGTGCCTGCTTGCCTAGGAATTGTGCATGCGTTTTTCAACCCGGCGTGCAAAGCCTCCTGTATCATGTCCTTTCAAAGCCTCTCCTCGCTCACCACTTTTGCTGGAACATTCCCTCACCACTGGAGACAGGGAGGCTTTCTTTTATTCTATCCCGTTCACGGGGCTTTCTTCATCATCTACCCAGTGATTTTCAACCAGTGTGCCATGAGAGGATCTTAGGTAGCCCGTGAAAATTTAAAAAGATCATTAATTTTAATTATTTTCAAAAGGAGATCAAAGCACAGTAAGTATATTATTTATTTTACTTTTTCTTTTTCCCTTTTTTTTTTTGAGACAAAGTCTCACTTGATTACCCTCGGTAGAATGCTGTGGCATCATAGCTCACAGCAACTTCAAACTCTTGGGCTCAAGCTATTCCTGTGCCTCAGTTTCCTGAGTAGTTGGGAGTATAAGTGCCTGCTGCAACATCTGGCTATATTTTTAGAGATGGGGTGTCACTCTTGCTCTGGCCGGTCTCGAACTCTGGAGCTCAAGCAATCCAAGCAATCCACCTGCCTCGGCCTCCCAGAGCGCGCGGCACCTAGCTATTTTACTCTTTTTCTTGATCAGTGTAATTTAAGTGTGCCATGGAAGTTTAACCATAGGTTTAATTGTGCCATGAGATTACGGCACTCTACTGAGGGAGACAAAATGAGACTGTGTCTCAAAAGAAAAAAAAAAAAAGCTTAAAAACAGTACTCTACCCATCCCACCCTCTGAACTGTTTAAAATCTTGACCTATGCTAACAAACATTTGAAACAATGCTCATTATCCCTGATCATCAGAGAAATGCAAATCAAAACCACCCTGAGATTTCACCTAACCTCAGTGAGACTAGCTCACATCACAAAGTCTCAAAGCTGCAGATGCGGGTGTGGATGTGGAGAGAAGGGAACACTTTTACCCTGCTAGTGGGAATGCAAACTAATACAGTCTTTTTGGAAGGAAGTATGAAGAATCCTCAAAGACCTCTAATTAGACCTCCCATTTGATCCTGCAATCCTATTACTGGGTATCTACCGAGAAAAAAAAAATCATTTTACCATAAGGACATTTGCACTAGACTGTTTATCACAGCTCAATTTACAATCGCCAAAATGTGGAAACAGCCTAAATGCCCGCTGACCCAGGAATGGATTAACAAGCTGTGGTATATGTGTACCATGGAATACTATTCAGCCATTACAAAAGACAGAGACTTTACATCTTTTGTATTAGCCTGGATGGAGGTGAAGCACATTCTTCTTAGTGAAGTATCACAAGAATGGAGAAGCAAGAATCCAATGTATTCAATTCTCATATGAAGCCACTAGACCATCGAATACATACTCACATAAGGGAAAAAAATTCAATTCAAAATGGGGGTGCGGGGGAACAAGGGAGCAGAGATGGGGGAGGACAGAGGGGGACGGGTGTGCTCCCACTTAATGGGCACCATGTTAGGGTGTATGGCACAACTCTTGGGGGCGGGACACACATATAAGAGGGACGCTACCTAACAAATGCAAACATTGTAACCTAACTCTTTGTGCCCTCAAATTAACCTGAAACAATTATAAAAATAAAAACATGGATAAAGACATGAAAAGAGAAATGAATAAAGGCAAAGGTGCTTATGAAAGCCTCCATCTTCCAAGATTGTCCTATCAAAAAAAAAAAAAATCTCAACCTATGTTCAGGCCATGCCCCTTCTCATCTCCGTAAATGGACACAGGGACTCTTTACAACACTTGGTCTTTATTTCTTGTGTGTGGCTCAAATTCAGTTCTGTGGATTGCTGCTCTTTCCCACCCAAGATTTTTCACTTCTTTGAAAACATGAACCAAGCCATATTTTCCTTTGTTTGGGGTGACTCCTCCTTCCCTGTTTTATACATAGTATTTGCTCAACAAATATTTGTTGAATGAATCAACTGCATACGAGACAAGGCAGCTGTCATTTTCTCAAGTGCCCTTTCCTGGAATTCAGCCACCAAATTGGCTCCAGGCTGGGATCTGGCAACCATGAGTACACTCAATGGGGATTAAAAAAAAAGATTTATGAAAACTGTTATACGGAGGGACTATGAAACCCTCATGTTAAATATAGAAGTCCCATTTTTATTTTGGCCACTGCGGTCATACCTTCCTGATTCAACACCAGCTTTTATAAAGGCGATGTTTAGCTGGTAATGGGGACCAGATGTTACCATGTGGAGGAAAACATCATTAGCTTGGATATTATAAAGAGAGCAGAACTGTCACCAGATTAATGCCCTCTGTCTAGTGCAGAGCTGGCTGGGTGACAGCTTACGGATCTGCAAACCCAGTGGTGCCCAACTCCCATCCAGCCAACATGTCCACAGTGCAATTAGACTGCTTTTTCCTTTCATAAGTCTGCTTCATCTAAAAAAGAAACCAATAAGGCGGCACCTGTGGCTCAAAAGGGTAGGGTGCCAGCCCTATATGCTGGAAGTGACGGGTTCAATCCCAGTTCCGGCCAAAAAAAAAAAAAAAGAAACCAATAGAGAGGTACCTTGATTTGCCTTTTATTGAGAACTCTGTAACCCATTTTTAACAATGACAAGGAGAACAATTATGCTAACAATGAATTTGAGGTTTGAATGAGATGCTCCTTGCCAACTCTATTTTTCTGTAACAGGCGGCCTCAGATGTGGTGTAGCCTGGCTACAGGTCAACCCCTCTGGAAATAGTGTTGCCAGATTTAGCAGACCAGCAGACAACAAAACCAGATACAGGATGCTCAGCCAAATTAGAATTTCAGAGAAACAAGGAAAAAGATTTTAGTATAAGTATATCCCAAATATTGCATGGGACATACTTACATCGAAACATACATCTGTGGTTTATCTGCATCAAATTTAGCTGGACATTCTGTAATTTACTTGGCAACCTTGTTTGGAAACCTTAAAACCAATTCTGGAGGGGAGGCAGAAATGGGTTCTGGGATGGGGGACTGAGGTGGTTACTTTCAGTGATGTTATTTTAGAGTAACATCTCTGTGCTCAACTTTCATGGAAAACCTGAGAGATGGTAAATCCAATATGCAGCTAACCAATTTTCAAAGAATGGGAAGTAAGAGCTGAATTTGGTAGGTGACCCTGAATGAAAATTATTTAATCTTTCCTTGATGATTCAGAAAGTACCTTTGGATCTTATCTATGTGAATTCTGATTGACTCAGAAGGACAAGGATATACGCATTTCAGGTATAGACTTCCGTTTAACTAACAGATAGCAGAGTTTGTAGTGTGTTCTTGTGTATTAAACACTAACCTTCCAACACGATCTTCACCAATTTCCATCTTTGCCAAAATGATAAAGCCTGCTTTGTCAAAATGACAAAAATGTTCCTTCCTCCATCACCTACCATCACCTATATAGCAAAACGACGCTCCCCAATCTGCCTTTCTTTATATCTCTATTAGGGTGACAACCATCATATACTCTGAATTTTCCAGGATTACTATATTTCTAAAAAAAATTCCTTTTGGGGGGGTATTTGCTCCTTGATTCAGGAAAAAAATAATATCTGAATATAAAAATCAGGTTAAAATTGGGGGCTCTCTTTGATTTGGAAGTCAAGTGATGCATTCACATGGTAACCTTGAATTTGGTAGGGTTCCAGACCGAGTTAGAACTTGACTACTTAACAGGAGAGAGGGAAAATGATTTGAGGTCCAGCACTTGTTTGTCGAAGGCATGGGTAGGCCGGGTGCAGTGGCTCATGCCTGTAATCCTAGCACTCTGGGAGGCTGAGGCAGGTGGATTGCTTGAGCAAGGGAGTTCGAGATCACCCTAAGCATCAGCAAAACCCTGTCTCTACTAAAAATAGAAAAACCAGCCAGGCATTGTGATGGGCACCTGTAGTCCCAGCTACTCAGGAGGTTGAGGCAAGAGGACCACTTGAGCCCAGGAGTTTAAGGTTGCTGTGAGCTATGACGCCATGGCACTTTATACAAGGGAACAAGTGAGACTCTGTCTCAAAAAAAAAAAAAGTAGGGGTAGAAATACAATTCATTAATTCCAGAATAACTACAGAGCCCTTGTTTCACTGCGGGCATACGAAACACAATAGGAAATAAGGCAAACAGGGGCCCTGCTCTCAGGGACCTGCAGGGATAATTCAATCCTTTTTTTCTATCATTCATCTCCAATCTGACGTCACCATGGCTTCAAAAAGAAGAAAATTATCTGCTTCTGGTAACCCAGAAGAAAACACTGATATCATTGTCTTCTAAGAGGCTCTGTTCACGGGGGCTTAGAGTAGGTTCAATTTACTGAGTACCACATGCTTGCGGGTACTATTCAGTGAGCCCTTACCCTAAGCCTGGTGTGTTACGAATATTTTTTCATTACAGCTGCATTAAGTGAGTCTTACAGACAAGGAAATGGCGGTCAGAGGAACTCAAGACATGTCTCTGTCATGTCAAATATTCACTAAGTGGACAGTCCCAGCCTGGAGAAGTGTGTACACCTTCTATCCGTGTGGACACGAGGGCCTTTCTAAAAAGCTGCCCAGGTCAATTATTTGGAGATTACAGCCTTACTAGACAGAAAGTGTTTAGAAGTATGGTTAGGGTCGTGGTTAAAAGATTAGCACGCCAAGCCTAAAAGCAACACCTTATTTGAAAAATAGCTCCTTACAATAATTATAAAATAAAAGTCATAAAAGACTGTATATGAAAATAATATAATATGCTATTTCATAGATCTGTGTTTAAATAACTAGGCCATTGATCCTGTTTTTAAAAAATATCCAACGAATAATTGGCCTTCTTTACTCACATTCCTAGAATTTTCTCTCAGGGAAATCCTTGTGAAAATGAAAATGGACAGTTTGAGTTTCAATAAGTATTTTATCCAGCTAAAATGATGTGACATAACCATCCACGAGGCTGGAAATTCAAAGTTCAGACTAACATATTTTGGAGTCTTTATGAAGTTTGTCTCATTTTTCTTTTTTAAAAATATTCTGACATGAGATAAGGCCAGAAATTTCCACCCTGATCCCAAATGGCCTTGTTTGATGAATTTAATGGGTAGCATCTCATATTTGTAATGCTTTGAAAATGACCTAGAACTTTCTGTAATTTAACTACTAATCCAAAAAAAAAAAAAAAAAAAACCAAAAACCCCAAGGATATATCTAACTTCCATCGTCCTTTCTTAATCTAAAACCCTCCCCACCCAATTTCTCCCTCCAAGCCTTGAACTTTCTGAGTCTTAGATCCTCTAACAATAAACACGCCTGTCTCTGGGATAGAAATAAATACAATTTTAGTAAAAATAAAATCAGATGTCAGCTTTTATTTCCCAGGATGGACTCCACTGCAAACAAATAAGGTAGTCCCCTCCCTTTCATCAGCTCTTCTCCAAATTGCTTATAGTTTCATGGAAAACTGCCATGGTGATGTTTTTTTTCCTTCCCAAATCAGCATTTTCTCCTCTAAAAATAATTCTATGAAAGAGGATAAACATAAAAATGGAATGAAGAAATAAATGCCCTGTGGACATATACTAACATGATATTAAAAGGCAGTGTGCTGACTTTTAGAAGTTGTTCACTTTTAATTGCTTCTCAGTGACTCAGTCTATCGATTCTGTCTTCCAACTTGGAAGCTCACCGTGAAGATTGCATTGCACTGGTGTTTCGGTGGTTGCTTTTGCAAGGAAAGCTTTGCAATGTATTTACTTAAATGGAAAGGAATTCTCATATGACTGGTATGTGCCTTTGAGTACAGAATAGCATACCAGAAAAATCAATGGCCGAGCAACAGTAGCACTTATCACCATGGAAACACAGTAAGGGTAACAGTCTGGATGATCTTTGTAGTTCCAGCTCTTTCCCCACCTGGCCTATTTTTTTCAGTCATTTAATCCTACAGTACCTCAACCTTCTTCATCTTTCAAATGGGTATAATCCATGTGCCGATTCCACATTTATCAGAGACTTTTAAAGTCCTGTTGATGTTTGAAACGACACAAGAAAAAATGAGAAACTTGTATGCTTTGGTTTCTAATTTTAGTACATTCATTCAATAAAAAATAAACATAGCCGGAGACAAAACCTAGGAGAAAGTTGTCAGGGTAGTTAGTGGGTAAAAGGAGATGGTTTAATAAACTTCTTAGCTACACCATATCAAGTCACCTCTATGGTCCAAAATTAAACAGATAAAGTGGATAGAGGACATTTTATGCAACGGTTATTTATTTTTAATCTCCTAAGTGGCCGTCTGTGTGCCTTGCACCCAGGAAGCAGAGAGGAAAGGCATGATTTTTGCCTTTGAAGAGCTTACAGTCTAGAGGAAAAGGTAACACTCAATGCATCCCTGCCTCAGGTCAGAATGTGCTAAAGGCTTTGGACCCATTATCCCTGCTGTCCTCAATCCCCAGGCTGAGGACCAGCATCAGTCTGTTAGGAACTGGGCCACACAGCAGGAAGCGGTTGGCAGGTGACCGGAAAGCTTCATTGGTATTTATAGCCGCCCCCCATCACTCACATCACCCCCTGAGCTCCGCCTCCTGTCACATCCGTGGTGGCACTAGGTTCTCTTAGGGCCATGAACCCTACTGTAAGGTGTGCGTGCGAGGGATCTAGGCTGTGTGCTTCCTTTGAGAATCTAATGCCTGATGATCAGAGGTGGAGCTGAGGTGGTGATGCTAGCCCTGGAACCATCTAGTTGCTCAGGAAAACAAGCTCAGGGCTCCCACTGATTCTGCAGTATGGTGAGGTGTATAATTACTTTGTTACATACTACAATGTAGCAATAATAAAAATAAAGTGCATAATTAATGTAATGTGCTTGAATCATCACAAAACCATCCCCCCTGCTCCCGTGGAGAAATTGTCTTCCACGAAACCTATCCCTGGTGCCAAAAGCATTGGGGACCAATGCATTATCCTAGCCATTATTACAACTGGCCTGTGCAGAAGTATGTGCCTTTATGGCTATGTTCCAGGTGAGATAACCAAGGCTTTAAAAGATAAATACGTTATCAAAAAAAAAAAAAAAGTAGGCTAGTGAGTAGAAAGGTAGAATTTAAACTCTGATTTGCCCAAGTCCAAAATACCTGTTGTTAATTATCAAGCAAGAATGACCACACTGATGCAAAATGACTCTCCCTGTATCTACATAAAGCAAAAGAGGGCAGCCTTCACGCTGGAGCTCACCTGTTATCCTGCAACCATAAACTTCAAATCTCAGCGAGATGCCAGTTTCCCAAGTCATAGGTTTGATTCGGACAAATCGAGTTAATAGGGGTTTGGGGAAAACTCCCAACACGACGTCTGTGGGGTTGGTGTTTCCCTGAAAGACCTGCGTGGAAAAAGAAAGGGCCTTGTATTAGCAGAATTTTGGGATGGAAAAAGAAATCCAAAAATGTGTTTTCACAAACATTATTTGCAATTTCAGCCTGGTCTACCAAGGCTGATGTGGCATGAATAACTTAATATGTTATCTTTACAAATGATGGCCATCAGAGAGGCCAGATGCGGCTGGCTCACACCTATAATCCTCACGCTCTGGGAGGGCAAGGCAGGTGGATTGCTTAAGCTCGGGAGTTTGAGACCCTCCGGAGCAAGAGGGAGACCCAGTCTCTACTAAAAATAGAAGAGCTAGCCAGGCAGAGTGGTGCATGCCTATAACCCCAGCTACTCAGGAGGCTGAGGCAGGAGGATCACTTGAGCCCAAGCCTGTGAGGTTGCTGTGAGCTATGATGACACCGTGGCACTCTAGCCTGGGTGACATAGTGAGACTCTGACTCAAAAAAATAAAATGAAATAAACTAATGAAAATTTAAAAAAGATGGCCATCGGAAAGAATCGTGTCCACTATAGAATGTCCTAGTCATTTCTTCGATGTTCTGAGGCTAGAATCTCTAAAAGCATTACTGCAAGGATGACGTTTATTAAGGAATATATGCCATTATCTAAAAAGCTGGGACATCCTTAACTTTATCAGGAGACCTTCAGAAGGCTGCAGATGTGCCACGGGAACGCTCAGGATTTTACTTTCTCAAGACCCCGCAGAAGGAATGCTTCTCGGCGTTCAGGGTAGGGCCTGGCTTTTTGCAATTTTAGGTTATCTTCCCAGATACAGCACTAGGTCAGGTCAGCTTTCTCCCTTCTAACGCTATTCCTTGACAGAAGATCTTATCCTTGACAGTAATTCATGACTTCAATCCTTTTTTGGTTATTGGTAAAATTACATTTTCATGGCGCAGGTCAAAACTGAGTTTTAAATGACTTTTAACTGAAAAGCAAGCTCTTCCAGGGCGTCTGTGTAGTTTTATTTTATTTTATATTTATTTATTTTTATTATTATTATTTTTTTAGACAGAGTCTCACTATGTCGCCCTGGGTAGAGTGCTGTGGCTTCACAGCAACCTCAAACTCTCGGGCTTAAACGATTCTCCTGCCTCAGCCTCCCAAGTAGCTGGGACTACAGGTGCCCGCCACATGTCTGGCTATTTTTTGGTTGTAGTTGTCATTGTTTGGCGGGCCTGGGCTGGATTCAGACAAATGAAGCCATTTTAGTGCAAGAAAGGTAAGGCAAGGGCCAGGCATGCGTCACTTTCCCATGGTTATCCACTGGGCTCACTCTGTCTGCACGTGGGCCTCCAGGAGCGTCCTCTAGTAAGATCCCTGAGGAGTGGAGAGTATTTGTAGTCACTGAACACGCCAGCCTCCCCTTTCCTGAATTTAGCATCCGCTCTGGTTGGGAACAGCCCTTGTGGCAGAGACATTCATGAGTTCTGTGCCTTGTGCATGTCACTCTCCCCTTTGCACAGCCAGGTCAGATCCCAGCTCCTCCTCTCAGGTTGTGTGACTAGAGCATTCCTGGGCATGTTGGGGGCATAGAGGTTCCTCCCCGCCTTTCCAGGTAAGTGCATAACTGTGGTTTTCTGAAGCTTCCTCGTCCCCCTGGGAGAAAGGGCTTATAAGAAAAAATCAGGCTGGTGTTTTTATTTCATTGAGTTGAAGGGGCCTGAGCAACTGGAGGTGGTCAAAGGCTTTACAGAGTCTCTTGCTGGCCTGATTCCTCTCCCGAGACGATTTAATATCCTCATTTATCCCAGCCTGGGAGGCCCTTTCGATTTCTGTCTTACTTCAGCATCTGTCTCTGGGAAATGAACTGCGTGGGGGACATTTTTGTGTGACGAAGAAGAAAGGGAAGCGTCCAGAGGGGCCTGAGCCCCCAGGAACGGCGCCCTCCTTACGGAGTCAAGTTCACGTCTGTCCGAGGGCCACCTGAGGTCTGAGAAGAGCTGCGTGCTCTGGTGCAGGTGGAGGGGTGCGTAGTTGGCACGGAGGGGGGCTGTGTGCTTGCCGAGAGCCATGTGAGCGTGCACACTCTTCCCAGCTGTAGACGGGGTTGCTGGAGTTGTTACTGGTCGCATGCTGCCCTCTCTGAGGCCCGGCCAGTGCTCCCCAAGGGAAGAAAGAGAGCAGAGCAAAGTGGCTGAGCCCCAAAGTGCAGAGAAAAGCAGGGCGGGCACCTAAATTAGCTAGATTCCTGCTGGATGTTTCGATTTTTTTAGATTCAATTAAAGGGCTCAGATAGATGCCAAGACTTTATCTCTGCTGAAGCCTCACGTACTCTGTCTGCCTCCTTCCCTGGAAGCCCTAGTGGGTGCCAGGGAGTTCCCGGTGGGGAGAGAGGGTGGTACACACTGTCATACACCCCTGGGAATCTGTGTGTGCTCTCTGGCAGCCCCTGCTGGGTCACATAAACAACCAGCAGGCGACTGGGACATTTTGAAGAAGCAGCATTTATTATATAACAAAATGACTTGAAGATCCAGGGTCAGTTCTCCCCACTCTCCTGGGTTCATCTGTTGCTGGGTGTGTCCTCAGCAAGAGTGGGGTTTTGCTTGTTTGAAACGAAAGTGTGGCTTCAAAAGTCTACTCCCAAAGCAGGAGAACTCGTGAAACTCAGGGTCAAAAGCGACTTGCTTCATTTTCCTAAAAGCAGAGACCAGAAGGGCTTTTTCCTTCCCCAGATGGAGAACTGGTTTCATGTCCTCTAAGGCTAGACAGCGGCCTTGAACTTGACTGCCTGTAGAGTTTTCCTCCCACAGAGCAGATGTCTCCCTGTATCTGCTTCCACTTTGCCTGCCCTAAGTGAGAGTGAGGGTTTTGCCGCTAATCAAAGGGAATTAATAGCTCTTCTCTTGCCTGGCACACGGGAGGCGCTTCTCAGTTCCAAGCCCAGAAGGAGGAAAATCAAGTATGCGTGTATGCCCCAAAGAGAGACAAGGGCATGTTAATTGGCCTCTTCCCAAACCCAATCTTTGCAAGTTACCTAGCTCTTTGCTACGATCCTCACCAATTTTCTGTTTTACTCGCCCTCCAGGGCAAGCTTTTAATTTTAGGGACACGGTGAGTATGAATCCTCAGAAACCTTTTGATTAGTAAATCAGAGCAAGTACAACTTCAAATAAACAGGCTGGCTGAGAGAAATAGCTCTGTTCCAAACGATTTAGGGCTGAGCGCCCAGGGACACGGCGCAGTCTGCGCTGCCTCCCTGGTTGAACGCGGAGAGGAGGTAGCATGTTATTTGTGTGATCTCGGGGAACACAGCGAAATACCTTTAGTTCTATTGGTTTTTACAAGAAGTGGCCAAACACACTTGTAAATGAGTTTGCCAGCCACAGACAGTAGATGAAAAGATGTTTTCTAAAACTGGCCCATTACAGAAATAGTCTCTGAAAGAGAAGGAAGAATTGGAGGAGAAAAAAACAAGAACACCTCAAATTCCTGAAGTTCTAAGAGGACAGAGTTGATCCTATGAATAATCCGTGTCCCTGTGGGAGGCTTAAAGTGATTCTTGAGTCTTCATTTGGCCTATATTGACTTTTCTTGGAAACATCCCTATAATTTCATCTTGGCTTCTGGATCTGAGAACATGAGATCCCTTGGTCAGATTTAAACCTCTTAACTGCACTTTTCATTTTAAGTCAATTCCAAAAGAGACCAGGCCAGACAGAAAGTTCCCACTCCCAGATAAAACAAGTAAAAATGGATCATGCATTCGAAAGGCTAGGAGGGTTTTGCCGATAAAACCCTCCTAGTTGGTTGGCTGTGGGGGGGGGGGGGTGGCAGTCAACTTACGACAGGCTTATTTGCTTCTTTGATGGTGATCCAGTCTTCCCCATTGGAGCTAATCTCTATCCTGTAAGTCTTGACGTAGTATTTCTTCTTGGTTTCCTTGGAAATGGCACCCTGTGTTCCGACAGCTGTGACAAAACGCAAGAGGCCCAAGTCCACCTGCAGGATAATCACCACAATGTGGTTAGTCAGCCATCCCGGTACCACTGTAACCTGGAGCACCTTTTCCTGTGGGCTTCAGGCTATAATTTTTATTCACCTGGGACCCAAAGGGCCTCATTCCATCTGGTGTCAGCAGCCCCTGCCTCCCCATTCCTTTCCTTCTAAAGAAAAGGCCAGCATAGGCAGATGAGGCTGACTCTTCTTATTAGGACAAAGACCAGAAAGTTACTATTCTCATTGTTGTAGCCAAGATTGCTTGAGCCTTGGTACAAAAGAGAAAACTGGGTTCAAAATCATGTCATATTTCTCCAGAGATCAAACATGCTGCCCAACAGCACATTAATATATGTCATTTTACAAAGAGAAAATCTAGACAAACAAAATAAACTCACACTCTGGAGAGATCTGGACTAAATTCACGTCTAACATGATCCTATTTCCTTATGATTTTTTTTTTTGAGACAGTCTTACTTTATCATCCTCTGTAGAGTGCTGTAGCATCACAGCTCACAGCAACCTCCAACTCCTGGGCTTAGGCGATTCTCTTGCCTCAGCCTTCCGAGTAGATGGGACTATAGGCGCCCACCACAATGCCTGGCTATTTTTTGTTGCAGTTTGACTGGGGCTAGGTTTGAACCCACCACTCATAGTATATGGGGCCAGCACCCTACACACTGAGCCACAGGCACCATCTCATTTCCTGATCATTTTTTATTTTTATTTATTCATTTTGGGAGACAGAGTGTTAGTCACCCTCTGTAGAGCGCTGTGGCATCATTGCTCACAGCAACCTCAAATTCTTGGGTTCATGCGATTCTCTTGCCTTAGCTGTCCAAGTAGCTGGGACTCTGGGCATCCACTACAATGCCTGGCTACTTTTTAGAGATGGAGTCTTGCTGTTGCTCAGGCTGCTCTTGAACTTCTGAGCTCGAGCAATCCACCCATCTCGGCCTCCCAGAGTGCTAGGATTACAGGTGTCACCCATCTCGCCCGGCCTTCCTGATCACTTTTTTAGCAGCATCCTGCCTCCTTCTGAATAAAATGCAGACTGAAATAATACTGATTTTCTTTCTTTCTTTTTCTTCTTCTGTTTTTTTTTG